TTCCTAATTTTGATTCATTTAGTTTTTGTTATGAATTCAGCCGGAGATTTTGAAACGAAATGTCATTTTGTCAGAGTTTGAAATTTGAATTTGAAAATTTCAATCAGAACTTGCAACATGAATTAGTAGTAGATAGGTAGACATAGATAGACTCTATGATTTAGGAACTAGACTGAAATGTTTAATTTTTCTTTTTCGTTTGTCAATTTGATTGATAAAACAACACAAATATTAGTTTATAAAAAGGAATGTTATAGTTAAAACTATTTTATAAAACTATTGATATTGTTATTTATAGTTATTATAAGTTATATTATTGTTAAAAGGTAAAAGCAAAAAAAATTGAATTGAATTATTTAGGTATACAATAAAGCTAAACTGAGTTATTTAATGAATTAGTTACAAACATTTGTTTTTCACTCATAAATTTTTTTTCACTCATAAAGAAATTTTAGAAGTCAATAAGGCTTCTAATGAAAACAACAACAACAATGATGACATCAACAACAGCAATGATGACAACAACATCAATTGTGAAAGTAATAATGAAGAAAAGAATCCACAAAAAAATGATAACCAAATAGAAATTAGTGATGAAATTAGGACAACAACCAAAGAAGAGGAACAGAGCAACTTACAGAACCGGCCCCAATCTCGATCTCCATCACCAGCAAATAATAAACGTTCTAGAAGTAGGTCAACTAGGTCAAGGTCATATAGTCCCAACAAAACCAAAAAAGGTTCAAAACAGAGAAAACGCTCTTCAGATGGTAAGCTGATGTTGTTGTATGCTGATGATTGTTTACATAATTTCATTCTTAACTCTGTTTGTTTTGTTTTTTTTAACGTATTTTAATGTGAAAACACCATTTTGAATGTTGTTTAATTGTTTACAGATATCGAATTGTTAGCACCTCTTGATGAAAATCTCGCCACCATAATGGGCTTCTCGCAATTCGACACTACTAAAAAATCCTACGAGGAGTCCTGTCCGTACATTAGCGACGACGAATCAGGAGATAGTAGACCGCGCAGGTTTGGTCGCACCTCTTCAAATCGAGATAGAAGAGACAGTGGTTATCAAAGAGACTTTGGCAGGCGAGACAGATCAAGAGATGGTGATAGACGACGGAGTGGAGGTGACTCTGGTGGCAGCAGAAATCACGGCAGAAGTGATCCATTCAATCACAATAGGAGAGATAGTGGAGGAAGGAGAGGTGACAGACGAGACAGTAGTAGAGATAGAGGAGGAGGAGGATTCAGACGAGATTTCAATCGTCGAGATGATCGTGGTGGTGGCCGAGATAACAGGGACAGAGATCAAAATAGATATTCAGGAGGAGGTGGTAGTCGAGATAGGGACAGAGGAAGTGGTAGAGATTGGGACAGAAGGGACTATTACAGCAGGGATGGTGGTGATCGTAGGCACTCCAAGGATAACTTCGGAGGAGGGAATAATAGAAATAACTACAGAAACAGTTTTGGTAGTGCTGGAAATTTAGCTGGTGCAAACAACTTTGATAACAATTTCAACAATAAGAGTGATAATTATGGCAGTGGGGGTGGCATAAAACCTCTCATTGATCCTCAATTTTTAGCATGCGCTGGCATAAATAACGGACCTCCATCTAGTGCATCTAATCTACTAAGCAGTCAGAACCAACCGAAAAGACCATCAAGATTTGGGCCCAGCTTGAACGTCAACCAAAATTCCAATAACCCAACAGCTAGTAATACGAACAACAACACAAGTACCAGCAACCCCCAGATGAATCAAATGTCTCGGCCACCAATGCAATCGGGCTGCCCTCCTCCTCGACAGCAACAACAGCCCCCTCCTCCTCCTCCTCCTCCCCCACAGCATCCACAAAAGCACCAACAAATGCAAACAACTTCTAACTACGACACAAACAAACAGGCATCCACTTACAATTACGGCACCTCCACTGGATATAACATGCCCGCTTACAATGCACCGCCATCTTCTTCAAGCAGCTATTCAGTTACTAATTATTCCACTAACTACACAGCTACTAACCCAGCTAATAGCAGCTACACAGCTAACAGCAGCAGCTATTCATCTGACAGAAGCGGCTACTCAGCTAACAGTAGTAGCCACCAAACCAACACTAGCAGCTACTCAGCTGGCAGTGCTAACATATCATCGGGTTCGGGTAATAATTACATGGCAGCCTACAACTCAAGAGTCACAAATCCATACAATGTTGGTGCTCCTCTTCCAATTAATCCTCCCATCATGCCCCCAATGTCATATCCTAATCCATACGGTATGTTCCATTGCTTAGGTCTTTCCATTTTACAGTGCTCTTTCATATTCAGTCATACTTTACAATCAAGATTAAAATATATTAATTTCAGATGATTTTTTGAATCTTTAAATGTATTTTAACAAAAACCAAGATTATGTTATAACCTTAACCCTAACCAAAAATATTTCCTAATTCAGCTATGCCTCCAGTGCCTGGACCCCCACCCGACCCAAGCCAGTATGGTGCGTGGAATACGTGGAATAATTATTATGGAAGCATGGGATATGGATATCCAGGAATGTGCGGTTATATGAGTGGGGCTGTTGGTAGTGGACAGCGGCCCGCCACCACAACTTCTGCTACACCTGGCTCACAATCAGCTGGCTCGAGTACAAACAAATAGATAGAAGATTATTATATATTAATTATTTAATTAATTATTATTTGATTTTATTGCTATTATTTTAGGTTGTTTGTTTTATCATTGGCTATTTATTATCCACAATTGAGATGGAGAGAGCAGGTGGAGATGGACAAAGTGAAAGCGGGGTTGGGTGATACTGAGGCGAGTGACAGATGTGAATGGCGTCGAGGGGTATTTCGGTTTCATCATAGGTAGCCAAACGTATCTCGGGGAAATTGTCGTCTAAACGTGTGTTGTTGTTGTTGTTTGTTTTATTATTGGCTTTTATTATATGTTTTCAGTTTAGGGATCAATGTTTAAAATGAACATGTTTGTGTATGCGTGTGTGTGTGTATATACGCGTGACGTGTGTGTGGTTAGTTGCATGTACAGCATTCTATGATTTTATGAAAAATAAAAGGCACTTGTTTGGTCTTTCGAGTACACCGGTTTTTGGTACCTTAAGGTACTCTTTAGCTGTTTAATCTAGGTGATTATAATGCTAATTGTCTTGTTTTGATTGTTTTAAAGCATTTTAAGATTTGATTGGTTGTGTAACAGTTACTTTTTTGGACCTTGAAGTGTACTATTTTGTAAGATCTTAAGGTACTTATTAACAGTTTAACATGCATCTTATTTTTCGATTGTCGTTGAAATTAACTAAATGTTGTGGGATTGTATGAGATGGGTAGATGGTTCATTTTACACCTTTGTCTTATTACTACTTGTATAATTGATTTAAAAAAAACTGTTGCAATGCGTTGGTTGCAGTTTATTTTCTTGGTCATTATTATTATTTTTGTCATTCATTCGTATCATTAATTAGTATCATTCATTATCACTACATGTCATTTATTTTCATATAAATCTTCGCCATGCTCTATCATTTCAGTTACGTATTTGTATAAATATTTCACCAAACATTTTATTCTATTTGTTACAATAATTTTTAATTATTATTATTATTATTCAAAGTTTAAAATACTCGAAAAATGTCACAAATTTCGTTTAAAAAGTTCCTTTAGATCATCCCGTGTAAAACGAGTTTGTGAAGTTCGGCGCATATTTTCTTGTCTAGTTGGAAACTCTGTTGAATTTGTTTCAAAATAGTAATGGAATATATTGAAGTAATAATTATTATTGGATAATATTATAATTATTATTAGATAATATTATAACTAATTATTATTATGAATATTATTATTATACTGCTACTACTGATTATGATTACCGTGGTTACTATTACGATTTTTTTTTTTTTTTGGCTGTTCATCTATGTACTAACTCCTAAGCCAAAAGTTCTGAAAGCCTGGACCCCCTGAACCGGAAATATTGTTTATTGTTATTTATTATCTTTTTTGGCAGTGTTTATTTATAATCTTTTTACACTAATCGGTAATTCACTAACTCTGCTGTAGTAGTGTCTAGCTAGAGTTTCGTTCATCTGAACACCCCTCCCCAGAGTGAGACATCTGGCGTAGAAAAAACAACCTATAACACGTGAATGAGTGTTGGAAAATGTAATATTGGAGTGAATGAATGAGAAGATGTGTGAATTAATGAATGAATGAAAAACGAAAGAATGATCGAACGGAAGAAGAACGAATGAATAATCAGGATAGTGGTATATGGGTGAATAGCTTAACAAATTAATTAATAATAAATGAATGAATGATTCGATACAATGATCAAAAAAACCAAACAAACCCATAGATATTCCAATCTTGATGAAATATTCAAGACATCCGGTTTCTTTGCTGGCCGACGCTATATCTGTTATATCGACCATCCTATAATAATAACAACAACAATAATAATAAAAACATCTAATTATAACAACAACAATAATAAAACCAACACAATTACAACAATTTCATTCATAAATCAATAGGTAAAGTAGACGATAATGCGCATAAAATCGTAGCAAAACTGGATTATAAATTACATAGTAGTCTATGTTTTCGGTGAATATTAAATGAGAAAATATAATAATAAAACAAATATTAATAATAAAAAATAATAATAACGTAGTGGCCAGCTCTCCAGCTTTGGTATAGAGCATCCTTAAGTAATAATAATTTATCAAATTTCCTTTGGCATACAGATTGCCCTTTGTCGATGCTTCTTTCAAATATTGGTAACCTTAATTATTGTTAGAGGTATCATATTTCTTATTATGTTAATTGATTATATTATCATTAATATAATTTCTTATTAATTAATTAATTGATAATATTATATAATTAATATAATAATAATTATTATATTTATCATCTTATTTTTTTCTACGGGACCTTTTTCTTCATTTTCCTTAACTCCCATTCCGTGTAAATACATAGTTCCGAGGGCGCCTTAGAAATAAAATGTTATTAAAAATCATTCAATCAACCAACCAATCAGCCAAACGATCAATCCATCCATCAATCACTGACCAATTAACATTCAACCAGTTAATCAACCGACCAATAGACTCAAGAGATCCCTTCTTGCTAGCAAGATCGTGATAGTGAAACGCCATCTCGAAATTCTGATGATCCGGCAAACTATAAAACAAACCTATAAATAAGATGGCGATGATGAAGATAATGACGATCGTGGTGGTTATAATGATGTGGTGGTGGTGGCGACGACGACGACGATGAAGTAGTTACAATAATAATTTTCCATTTGTTATTTATGAATATGACGTTCACGATTACAACGACGAAGATGATTACGACGATGATGATGATGTCATTGATGATGACGATTATTATGATAATTATGATGATTAAGATGGCAGTGATGATGACGATGACGGCGATGATGATGATGCGACGATAGTGTTGAGTAAATAATAACCCAGTGTCGTCTGCGCCAGCGTGCAAGCTCCTGTCTGTTCCTCACCGTCCGCCGCTAGTTTCCAAAATCTTAAACGTTTTTCCAATGTAATGAGAGAGTTGAATAATTTATTTAAATTATTAATTAATTTATATAAACTATGATGCCTAATTGCACTAATCACTTCTCGGCCAGTTCCTCAGATCTGATTGTACCAGCTCCGTAAAAATAAGCTCTGCCGACGTTAACAGCGGCCGCCTGATAAAGATTTCTCGCTTTTGGATCCGTAGATGTTGCTAATTCGTTAATCATTTCAAAGCCTTTGCTCTGAAAGTTGTTATATTTTTATTATTTAAATAAATGTAATTAGTATATAAAATATAAACAAGTACATGTTTATTAACAAATACAACAATTTGTTAAAACAATTTTATAGCAAAAAAATAAAAATATTAAAAACTTAATGATTTACCTGATTCAAAGTTGTCCCTAGTCCATCATAGCACATCACTGCTGCCTGATATTTCGACTGAAAATTGTTCCTATTAGCCATGATCTCGAAGTAATGGTAGGCCTTTTCGAACTCTTTCTGCTCGTAAAAGTACTGCCCCAGTAGAAATAAACTGTAATCATCGTCGACGTTCAACATTTCAAATAGGGACTCTTCTATTTTTTTTCGTTCCTGATCCGTCAGTGGAACCCGGTCCAGATAATTCGAATCCCACTCCGTTTTCCGGCATATGTCAATTTTCGTGTCCATTTTTAACACATTTATTTAAATATTTTGTACAAAACTGACATTTATATTTGTTTATTTCTCAGAGATATTTGATATTTACAAGACATTTAAGCGTTTTTAATTCAAAATTTCATTCAACAAGCTTCCGCGTCTTTTAAAATAATGATATAGTTTCTATAGTAACATAACTCCTAGGTGTAAAAGTGATAAATATTGTTATATAAATAAATGAAAATGGTATACATTTTTGTGATAGGACCTAATAAATTTTTTTATTTTATTTATTTAAATATTAATTAAATGCTTTAACGTATTGACATTAATGAAAAAACGCAGATTATTCACACAAACGAAATTAAAAACTCAGTTTACTTTTAAACAGCCTCTTTAAAATTTTACCAGAGTGAGGCGAATTTTTGAAAAATTACTTCAAACATTCAAAGAAACAAGTTCTATAACATTCTAAATAAATTTTTCAAACATTCAATAATGTCGGTTTTGTACGCTTTTGGTTTCAATTCGTGTCGACAGATAAACCCCGGCCTGAACGCGGACCATATAAGCCAGCCGACAATACTCCGGTATGTGGAGTGCAGTCGGCTGTCCGATTCCTCTTTCCGAAGGGTTTATTTCATGGATGAAGATTTATATTTCAACACTGGCGAAACCATTATCGACGTGAAGATATCTTGGAATTGCATAGCGGCACTCAACACTTGGAACGAACTTTTAGTATGGTGTGATACAAGGAATGGAGTTCCATTCAATGTGCCTTTTAGATTTACTTCAATATGTTTCGGTACGACTAACATCTTGTATAATTCTCACGAACAATTGCTTTGGATGTCAACTGACAACATGCGGGACTGCCGTCAAATAAAATTAATGGAAAGAAGGTGTAATTCTGAGGACGGGGAAAGGCTAGTCGAAGAAGTTGTTGAATGTGAAGAAGAATTTATTGATGTCCAGTGTTGTGGGGATGGAAGTTTGTTTTTTTTATCAAAATCAAATGTTCTCTACCAATCAGAGCGGCCAGCTGGGCTATGTGAAAAATCTGGAAAGGTGACTGTTGTGAGAGCCGAATATGCAGATCGCATGTTCAATTTGTGGACACCCAAAATTATTCAAGTCACCTGCGGCAAAAATCATACACTTTGCTTGTCTGACGTTTGTTAGTTAGATCATTAACTATTCATTCATTTTCTCAACAGAAAATTATTGAAAATTAAAAAAAAATATCAATATTAATTTTAAATGTTAACAGACTTTTATTATCACAATTCAAAGGTGTGGTTTTCAGCTTTGGAAACGGCAACCAAGGCCAGTTAGGAATAGGCAAGTGGGATTTTGTGATGAGACCAAGGATGATTGATAAACTAGTTGGGACCAAGATAACAAAAATTTGTGCTGGAGGCTGGCATAATCTGGCAATTAGTGAAGATGGTGACATCTACTCCTGGGGCTGGAATCGTTTTGGACAAGTGGGATTGCCATTCAAAGATGAAAATGAATTTGACTCGTGGGTTGATGATGGTGATAACAATAATGATGATGACAAAAATAGTTCATCCCCAGCAGATGACAAACCTCAAATTGAAATAATTTTTCAAAATGCTGCATTATATCCAGAAATTGTTGTGAAAAAGGGTAAATCAAATTCAGATCATCAATCGTCATCATCCTCCCAGCCAAAACAACCACTATCATCACCACCACCATCATCATCTACACCTACATCCTACATTCAGATCCAATCAGTTCCACACCTATTAGAAGTTCTAAAACATTCAGATTCACCAACTTCCGAACAACCATCTTCAAAAGTCATCACGGACATTGCATGTGGGGCCAGACATTCTCTCTGCCAATCTGCGAATGGGAGAGTTTATTCTTGGGGCTGGAATGTGTTTGGCCAACTCGGTTACGACAGTGAAGAAGAATCGAGATGGCAACCTACAGAAATTACATTTTTTCGATCATTCAAAAGTAAACGCATATATGCTGGTGCCTGGAATAGTGTTGTGCTCGTTGAAGGTGATTATTCTAGTCACCTGATTGAAAGAAATAGTTCTTTGTAATAATTTTGGCCTTTTATATTTTCTCCTGAATTAAATTTTAGTATCTTTGTTCTTTTATTGTGACGCCATTCCTTGGGCTCTGTGAATTTTGATTTTTTTTCTTTAAAAGAAAGGAGAATTTTACACATTCAAGCATCTTTGAGAATTGATTTTATTTATACACCGCCCGCCCATATTCATTGCGTTGTTTTTTTACCATTTCAAGATTTTTTCAATTAGAAGTTTTAACTTTGATGCTTTTAATGCTGAAATTTTAACTGATTTTACTCCAGTTAACTGTACTTACTTGCATTATTCATTAATATTAGTGCGGTTCTTATTAGTATGTTGTTATTATTATTATTATTATTAATATCACCCTTATTATTTATTAATTTACGAAAGACTGATTGAAACGTTTTATTGCTATATAAATAATAAGAAGTCAGTAACAAATATGAAGTGAATGAGTGAAATGGCAGCAAACGTCAGAGGAATTAACAAATTAAAAATGTAGAAACTTGAGACAACAAAAAGTTAACTATCATTTTTTTATTATTATTATCATTATTTATTATTATTTTTTCATAAGAGCCTCTTCGATGACTACAATATCGCCATCATCGTCTTCAATGAAATCGTCATCATCGTCGTCGTTATTATTATTTTTATTATTAATTTGTCGATTGTCGTCGTTAGAGTTAGTAGCAGTAGAAGCGGTAGTACCTTTCGTTGCTGTTCTGACTTTCGATTTAGCGCTAGGCAATCTCATATTGACGCCCGTTCTTTTAGAGTTTTTGGGCGCACTGGCTTCAAACGCCATACTGGGGCCTCGTTTTCTCTTGAAGGAAGTCTTGCTAGGAGTTATCTCGATTAGGCAATCATTATCATCCTCATCATCGACATCATGATAGTAGTCGTCGCCATCGTCTTTGAAAGAAGCGTCCTTCTTTGGTTTTTTCTGTTTCTTCTTTGAGGTTTTTAGTTTCGGTTTCGTTTTGTCATTACCATTATTGCTATTAATATTATTTTTCTTCCCCTTGCTTTTACCGTTAGAGACATTTTTGCCCTTTCCACTCCTTTTATTAATCTCAATCAAGCTAATCTCAACGTCATCGTCGCCATCATCATCATCATCGTCGCCATCATCATCATCATCATTAATATTACTAGCATTATTACTTTTCTTTTTATTCTTCGTTTTGCCATTACTAGCACTAATATTATTAGTGTTGGTGCGATTAGTTAGACCGCCATCGCTGACGTCAAGAGCGGTGCCGGAAGGGAAGGTTTTCCTGGGGGTTCCTTTATACCTCTGCTGGTTGTATTTGGCGATGGTGGCAGTCGAGGAGAATGCCTTGGCCTTGATCTCCGATCGTATGTCACCGCGAGTCTTCAGCGGTTCCTTCACTGGCGTTGAACCTCTTGATGTCTGTAGAGTGTTTGAGTGAGTAACTGAATGAATGAGTGAATTAATGAAAGGTAAGTGAATGAATGATTGGGTGGATGAATGAGATGAAATAAATAAATCAAATTTACGCGTGTGTGTGTATATTACATCATGGTGAATGATTAAAAAGATAAGTGAATGAGAGAGCAGGCGAATAAACGAATGAGGATAAGAACTGATAGATAGACGAATAAAAAAACGAACGAAAGAATGAAACCCAAAGATCAGTAACAAATGGTTTTATCACAGCAGCAAATCATCTTGGACACCTAAGAACCAAAAAAATCGGTAACAAACTTGGTCGGCTTCTGATTCAACTTCAGAATCAGACGTCACATGGCTGCCGCTGTCCAACCTCTTCCTTATCTGTGGACATGAAAATTGAATTATTATTATTATTACAATTATTTATTATTTATAATTATTATTATTTATTATTATTATTTTATACCTTCTTTAGTGATTTATTCTTCTTCCAATCGTCATGCGAGGTGACCATTCTGTGCGAAAAAAAGCGAATAATCGAAACATGAAAAATTATGAAATATTATAAATTATTATGCAAAAAAAAAGTGAATAACCGAAATATGAAAAAATTATTTATATTATTATATAAATTATATATTATATAATATTCCATTTTGGAACGAGGTCTTCATTATAACAAATTTGATCAAATGATTTTGCCCATTTAGCGTTTATTAATTTCTTGAAAAGACATTCAACAACACGTAACCGTTGCAATTCACATTTAATCAAATTTGTTATGAAGAAACACATATTAATTATATACACACACGCACGCACGCACGCACGGACATACGACACACGTAAACACGCACGCACACACACACACACACGTACACACCTTGTAATATTTTGTACAATTGTATTATCGACAACTCTCAAAGACGGGTCGTTGAATATTGTGTCACATATAAGTTGCTTGTGTCTGCTGTATTCCTCTGCTATGGCAGACATTTCCTTCGGGGAATAATAATTTTTTCATATATTTGTATGTATATATGTATGTATGAATGTATGTCTGTGTAAGTGTATTTGTCTATATACTGATTGCAGTCAAGTGTGATTTTTAAACTCCATTGGATCAGCATTTTCAGAGCTAACTACAAGAAATGAACGGGCAATAAGTGAGATAAACAAAAATGAAGTTTACAAATCGTACATCTATGGCGTCAGAATTGAAAATTTTCGAAACAGCTGACGGCCTTTTAATCAAGAAGTCAATCTTCTGCTGTTCAGCGTCGTTGTACACCTCCCCAGATAACCTCATCGATGAATGGAGCTACATTTGAAATTGAGTGATACGATTGGTCAGTTTTAAGCGGTGCTCTGATGTGATTGGTTGACGTTATTCGGAGTAAAATAACGGCATGATATGATTGGTTAATTAAATGAGTGGAATTCGATTTTAAATGAAGAAATATGACTGGTTGGTTTTAATTAATGCTATAGCGTGATTGGTGGAAGTTGTAAGGGTAAAAAAGAGCTTTGACATTATTGGTAGATGTTAATGAAACAAACATGTGAATGCACGAATGACAGACAGGTTAGTGATTGATTGGAGTTATTAAAAGCATTACAATGTAATTGAATAAAGTCAGAGGAAGTGACTTAATAATGTTGATGGTGCTAAAATACAATTGGCTGATAAAAATAGTTAATGTGACGTGATTGGTGGAATTTAACGTGATTAAAATTTTGGCTGATGCAATTGGTTGAACTTAGCATCATTCTACAAGTTGATACCATAACAACAACAATAATAATAAATTAATAATAATAATAAATAATTAATAATGGTTTTTGATAAAAAATTTAAAAACACCTCTGTCTTAAAAGCAACAAATTGAAATGCCTTGAGCCTTCTTAGGCAATTAAATGCATATAACACATCACTGTATTGATTGACTGAAAGACTATTACTATTACTATTATTATTATTATTATTAATATTGTTATTGATATTTTTACTATTTTTATCACTATTGTTCATGTTGTCATTATCACTATATCTCGCTACATTATTGTTATCAATACCGGTGTAAGCATTTTCATTCTTATTCAAATTAACGTTGTTATCATAATTATCGCTGATATTATTGTTATTATTACTATTATTGATGTTATTATTATTATTATTATTATTACTGATAATATTATCATAACCCCTAACAACACTACTGATAAGGTCAATGTTGTCGTCATCTATGTTGTTGTTGTTGTTGATGTTATAGATGTTGTTGTTGCTGTGGTTTTTAATGCAATCCCCAACAACGTTAACTTTTCTATTGCTGTCATCGTTGATGTTGTTGTTGTCATCATCGTCAGTTTTAACGACACCAACGATTTTGTTTCGGACATCATCGTCATCGTCGATGTTTATAATGTCATCGTTGATGTTGTTGTTGTCGTTGTAGCCACTAACGTTTATCACGTCATTGGCTTCCTCGTCGTTGATGAGAATAGCATTCCTTTCACGGTGCTCTGTAACCAAAAAAATGAAAATAATAATGAATAGTTGCGCTGAGAGAGAGAGAAATTAAGTGTAAAAAGATAAACCAAAATTTCAGAATAAAAAAAATCCAACGTGTGTAAAGTTGGTTGGCTCTATGCTTGACATCATCTACAAACATTAACAAGTCCTCCCACTCCTGCAATGTCAACCTCACCTAATTGATTAATTAATTAACTAATTAATTAATTATTAAATGGATGAATAAATGAATGATTGAAAACATAAACAGTTATTTATTGATGGATTAATTCATTAATAAAAATTTAGTCAATCAACTAATTGTTTAGTCAATCAATCAAATTACTATCACTTTCAGTTGAATAAAAAGTTAATTACTTTCACTTTAGGCTGAAATGGATGTGTATGGTACAAGGCGTAGAACAGATATATACTGCATACCCTGATGCTGAATGGCTGGACGGGATTCAAAAATATCGACACCAACTTCATGCACTCTTCTGTGAACTATTTTTAGGTATTTCTTGGTGAGAGATTTTTAATTGGGGACTAACAAATAGAAATAAAAAATGACTAATTGATTAAAAAGTTAATTCAATCTATTTAATACTTTCAAACAGTAAGTCATATAAAAGATATCATAAAAAAAACAGTTAAATTTACAAATACTTTTTGGTAAAAGTATTAAAAATAAAACAATAGATGAATTAGCAATGATTGTTTTTAAGTTTTACATGGCCAAAAAATGATAAAATAATTTTTAATTAAATAAATTTCAATTAAAAAGTAAAAAAATTAGAATAAAAACCTCTCGACATTCCCTGTCATTTATTCTGCCGGAAAATAGGCAATCAAAGTGCATGTCGGTCCAAACCTTCAAGAAATCGGCATAGCTGATTGAGTGCAAGCTTCGAAATCTCTCACACAGTGCCTCAAAGTCACTGGAGATTCCCATGCTTCGAGAACTGAAGTACTCGTTCATTTTTATAATTAAAGTTAACTTTTTAAATCTGCAAAATAAATTAATACAATTGCTGAAATAATAATTTTAAAAAATTTTATTAGATTTTTATTATTTAAATCAAATAAATATACCGACTCTGTTTATTAAAAAAAAAACTAAAAGTGGAAAACGTTAATTAAGTTAAAAAGTATAGCGCTTTATTTTTGTTTAATTTATAAGAGCTTTACTATGATTGTAGAATTAGATAAACCATAGTAAAGCGAGTTACAATGATTAATTCTAAATAAGACTAACGAAGTAACAAGAAGGAGAAAAGTAGGATCGTCAAGAAAAGACAAAAGTTTTTTATTCTAAGTAGATGAAAGTAAGAACTTCTATCAATACTATTAATCTGAGAAGAAAGAGGCATTCTAGATAAAGCCTAGACTACGAAACTTGTGAGAAACATCAAGAGTTTTAGAATCAGGAAAGATAATAGGAGGAATAGTAATAAAGTGTTTAGATGTATTTAAACAAACTAAGAAGGCCAATGATGAAACCATGTGGTACCCCAGAAGTATGATTATGATTATTAAAATTATGATCAACAGTATCAAACGCAGAGAAAAAGTCAAGAGCAAGAAGAGGAACTTTTGTCACTGGAGAGAAGGATCTACTATGTATTTACTAATCACGACTTAAATATCTAAGTTTTTCTCTATTTGCATAAATACATGAGGGTCTAAAATTTTAATTTTTTCGTCATTTTTCGTTATTTCATTTTTCAAAATATGATAATATTCAAGAGAAAAATCTGCAATAAACAAACATTTCAACTTTTAATTTCAAATTCAAAGATCAAATTCACATTCTTCTTCGTTCTAGTGCCCTCGTGCCTTATCTTTTCAGAACATTAGCGACCATCGACCTCCACAAAACCCGATCTTTAACACTCTGTAGTGTGCTGATATTCAACAAGTGACACGAGGACTTCACGAATGTTGTTCATTGTTAGCCGCGATCTCTTTTCTGTGCAATCTCTCCAGTAGCTAGATTTTCCATTCTTTCTTTCCGCATGATGTGACCAAAAAAACTTTAATTGCCCCCGTCGGGTTATCTGTAGTATTTCCTCTTTTCATAATCGGACTGGTTTCATAAATTCACATTAAAACCCGATATTTCTGTGTTGTTATAAATGATTGTCTAGAGATTTTAATTTGGAAATAATGTGCCTTGGAGGTTGAAAAGGTGTAAATCATCATTTATGGTCAAGCCCGGTGTTTTATACCTTCATAATTTAAACTGTGCAAAGTTTTTTATAATTTTCATCCTAAATCTCTCACTTATTCATTCACCAGCTCATTCACTCAATTATTTTCTCTCTCTCTCTCTCTCTCTCTCTCACTCTTTCTTTCTTTTTTCTTTCTGCATCTCATATGCTGCAAACTTACCAACACAGGGGATCCAATACATACACATCTACAACTTTCTATCTAAAATACTCTTTGTCTCTCTCTCTCTCTCTCTCTCTTTCTCTCTCTTCCTCTATTTTATCTTTCACTAGTTTACTACTAGATAAACATCGATAAATTGAAATACATTTGACAAGTTGCTTTAGCATTTCAAACAAGCACATATTCTTACACAAACTAACAAACACACACACGCGCGCGCGCGCATACGAGTCGAAAGAAACATTTATGGATTTATACGTTAAATTATTCCAGAATATATAGTTGCTCATCAGTCACAAGGATCAAGGCTTTGGCAAATTATTTATCGTTTAAATTATAAAATTGTATATTTAAATGGATATAAAATGAATATAAAAATCTATATTTCGACTTGCTTATGTATATGTACACACACACACACACACACACACACACACACACACACACACACACACACACACACACACACACACACACACACACAGCACACACACACACACATATATATATATATCCTTTGATATATATATATATATATATATATAATCGGTTTATATCATCAGTATATATATCTGTATACCTCTTTATTAATGCTTGTGTTAGTCTCAGCAGATATAAAAGAATATGTACTAAAGTCTAACGAAACCAATTTTAGCTTTTATAGTATTCAAATAATAATATAACATTCTTACTAATACTTCTACTAGCACTGATATTACCACACAATTATTACTACTAACTTTTACTACTACAGTCTTTATTAATACCTTCATAATACGACTTTTATTGTTACTGTTGCTACAACCACTACTACCGCTACGACTTCTACTACTTCTACTGCTACTACCACTACTATTGCTACAACTGTGACTTTCAATACTACTGCTGCTACTACAGTTACTACTTCTACTAATAATAATTGTAGTAAAATAATAATAATAAATAAAATAATAATATAGGATGGTTTTGAAGATGGTAGTGATGAAAACCTTCGTATTGTTACTGCTGCTACTGCATCACGGTAAGTTCTCTCTTGCTCGTTTCATTGATTTTATTATTAAACAAGTATTGGCTTGAAACTTGTTGCGAAAAAAGAGTTTGTAGTATTTTTATTTCTTTCTTTCATTTTTTTATAAATTTATCAGACTTACATTTATTACCCTTTCTTTATCTACATTTCTCTCTCTCTCTCTCTTCTCTCTCTTTCTCTCTCTCTGTCTCTCTAAAGCATCATTGCCATTTGCCTATGAAAGATCCGTCAGAAATCTCTCTGACACTGAAAAATAAAACAACGTTCCCGTAAATACAGGCTTTGTTTATGCCGGAAAGGATGATGGCATCAATACCAAAAAACCTATATCGTGTGCGGACTGTAAATCTAATGTGAGCTTGAGTGGAAATAATGAAGTCACCGGTCCATGTTTCGATGTCTCAAAATGGGTGACCTGCGATGCTGGCTCCTTTTGCTTTTTCCAGTTGAAAATTAATTCTAAAAGTGAGTTTCCTGAGGTCTGTGTGTGCATGTGTGTTGAAGTGTGTGTGTATGCGTGTTTCACACACACTCGCACGCACGCACACACACGCACACATGTGTACAGTATAAAGAATAATTCATCGTCATCTGCTTTCAAATTTATTTATCTAGCAATACGATTAATGAATAATGAATATGCACATTCACACATACAAACACACACACACACACACAAACAGACACACACACGCGCGCGCACATACACACATGCGCGACAACAACAACAAACTAACAACAGATGGCAAAGCACAAGTATGGCGTAATTGCCAAAATTCGGTAGGGAGGAAAATCGTATCAGGGCGCGATCCCAACAACATCGAATTATCGCTATATATCGGAAAATCGCAAGGTAATTGCGGTACGGTCAGCAACATATTCGGTAGTGACGTCACTAAGGGTTTTACCAAAGACTGTAAAAAAATTTACGATAATTTTGTTGCTAGGTGGACAAAATCAAAGTGCCAGAGTAAAAGTTTCGACGATAGGAACAAAAACACCTATAGCGATAATAAAAAAAATAATAATAATAATAATGGTAATAATAATGGTAATAATAACGATAACGCCGACGATGATGGCGTTAAAACTATTAATAATAAGGATAAAATTGGAAATAATAATAATAATAAGAGTGATAAAAAAGCCGACGATGGCCCCACAAAGAAGACTGGTGATGATGATAGCGATGATGATGATGATAGCGATGATGATGATGAAGAAGATGATGAAGAAGATGATGATGATGACAGTAGTGACGACGACGATGAAGATAAAAAAGAAAACTGAAAATAATCAACGTGGAAAAGGCAGTCCCGATAAAAATAATAATAATAACCCTAATAATAATAATAAAAACTTGCCAAACCAAAACCTAATTAAATAACGAGATATGATTTTCCCGACAGACAATAACAACTACTACTGCTTATTTTAATGCATTTTATCAATTTGCCTTGTACTTATGGTGATGGCTATATTAACATCTATATATATATATATATATATATATATATATATATATATATATATATTTACAGACATTTAAATATTTAAATATAAATATATATCATCATCTCATCTGCTGTTTGCCAACCAAGGGCGGCAATAGCTAGTCACAGAGTCCCCATCTTCTATCTTTTGTCATTTTTCCGGATTCTGAAAGTCTTTTTTGATTACCTCTTTTTTTCTCTTTATATATATATATATATATATATGTTTATTCAATCCTGTAGAGGGTGAGAAAAAAATTTTATATAAGTTTAAATCTTACGTAGAGAGTAAAGGTTTGAGACAAGAGTTGATTTTTGTCATTGTAATCATGCTATTACACTACATTAACGCCCATCTCTATTTCCATGGCAACGTTTTGAGGCACTTCGTAATTTTGCGCTTGAATTCACTTTTTGCCGGTTAAATTTTATCAATTTATTTGATTTAAAAAACGTTTAAAAATGCAAAAACGCGAAGATTACTTATTAAATCGATTAATTCTTTCAAATAGAGTGAGTTAATAAATCAAAAACAGGATTTTATAATTTATTTTTTTTTTGCCACACAATGATTTTTTATTTCTGTTAGCAGTTAGTTAGTTAGAAGAAGAAGAGTTAGTTAGACTACTAGACTAGAGAGTCAATTATTATTTAACTAACATCACAAGTGACCTAAAAAGAATTTCAAACTAAAATATTTAATCATTCAAGATTTTCCATCTTTAAAAAATCATTTTTTTCTCAAATTTTATTTAAAATTTTTTTAATTTCAAGCCTCTCCCTGGCAGAAAGTCAGCCACTAGTAACCAAATCAGCCAGAACAACAAAAATAAAACGTACAGAGAATCCAAATATGTGGAAAATCCTGCCAAGAGTGCTGACATTGACACTAATTTTAGGGAATTGAAGATTGTGTCTAATGAAAAAAGTTTAAGAAATTTACGGTCTAAAAATATTCAATTTCAATTAGCTAATAATCATGATAATAATAAAACTAGGAAAGCTACAAATATCAATAATAATATTAATAATACTAATAGTGACATTAACAATAAAAACATTAGCAGTAGAAATAATAATAATAATAATAACAAAAATAATAATAACAACAATAACAATGATGATGATGATGATGAAGGTGATGATAATGATGAAATCAAAGATTATAATGATGAAACTAATGATGATGATGACGACGACGACGACGATGATGAAACATTTAAACTCCAGAAAAAAGCCAATGATATCTACAATAAAGTGTAAGAAACCTCTGTTATGTTATTATTTTATTATTATTATTATTATTATTTTTGTTATTATTGATAATAATATGAATAATAATAACAATGGCAACAGGGTAGAGTGTCTATCATTAACATCAACCAGAGCAACCAAAGATTCTCAATCATCAAATAGTGACGACGACGATGATGATGAAGGTACTGATGATGATGATGGGGCTCATATTTATAACGATAGTAACAAACAAGTAACAATAATAATAATAATTATTATTGTTATTAATATAATAAAAGTTATATAGCTACTAATAGTCCTAAAATTTTATGTAATGTCTACAGGAGATAAGAATAAATCAAAATGGGGAAGTCCACTTTCTAAAAATAAACTCGCAAGTGACGAAAATGATCTCGCGAAACGTTATGGTAATGATCTCCCAAAAGTTTATGACAGTGATGACGACTATGGCACCATTGATATCTTAGCAAAGTGGAGAAGGAGCAGACGCATTGAGAAATATAAATTGGAGAATTTGCTCTCGACGTCGAAAAATATCGCGCCGCATAAATTCGTGACGTCACAGCAGCAACAAACATCAACAGAAGGTGACATCAATGTCAGTAGCATCAGCAGTAACAACAAACCAACGTCACTATTGTCACCGTTCTCAGTGTCGAGATTCCATGAAAATTATCAGACATATTTGTTGGAACAAAAAAATTTAGAGCGACAACAGCATCAGCTGCAACAACAACAGCTTCAACAACAACACCAGCAGCTGCTGCAGCAACAACAACAGCAACAACTATATCCTTATCAGCCTTTGATTGTAGTTCCGCCCATCTTAATGTCACCAGAAGACTTTCAACAACGACAACGTAAGCAAGATGAACAACAGCAACAACAACAACAGCAACATCAACAACATTACTGTCGTTGTAATAAAACTGACTTGAAAAGTGCTGAAAATATTGTAGACAAAACAATTAAGTTTTGTTGTTGTCCTCATAAGAGATGTGACCAAAACATCAACAAAAACAATAACAACAACAATAGTATTTATAATAATAATAACAACAACAACAACAGCAATAACAACAACAATAACAACAATAATAATGAGATCACCACGAAAATATCAAGAGACGACACATTCTTAGATCTATATCCAGTCAAAGAAATTATGGTAGACAAAAATACCGTCTATTTTATACCAACGATACAACAAGAACATCAACAATTACATCAACAGCAACAACAACAACAATTACATCATCAACAGCAACAACAACAAACTCATCAACAACAACAACAAAGTCATCAACAACAGCAAGATTCATTGAGATACAAATCAGAACAAGGCGGAACAACAACGTTTGCGTTTGGAAACTGGATCAAGGAACAACAAAAACATCAACAACAACAAAAACATCAACAACAACAACAACAACATCAACGAAAACTTCAACAACAACGACAACCTAAACAACAATCACTTCAACTTCCAAACGAAAGAAGTGAAATGCTACAAGAATCCAAACTTCAACGGCACGACGATTCATTCACGAGCGTATCCAGCATGGATTGTTCTGACAACAATATGAAGAAAATGAAACCAATGAAGACATTAACAAATGATAAGAGCAACAAATCAAACAAAATCACATTAAAAACATCAACAACAACAACCGTAACATCGACAAAACCTACATTAAAACCATCAACAACAACTACATCGGCAACACAAACAACAACAGCAACACAGACAACAACAACAGCAACACAAACAACAACAGCTCTTGCAAAGACAACTAACACAACAAATTACAACATCAACAACAATATTAACCAAAACAATGATAATAACGATAATACCAACAACTCTGGCAACAAAACTGATGAGGTTGACGTCATCATTCCTAGAGATAGTTTGCTGGAGATATCAGACGAAGATGAACACAAAGATGACGAGATATTAATAGCTCTGAGGAGGCGTAGAAAATTATGTATCGACCAATTAAAACGTCTTACTAAATAACTAACAAAATCAAAATAATTAATCAACTAATTAAATCTAATTGGTTGATGAATTCCAATTAGGAATCCATACTCATTGAAAACAATTTGATCGGTTGATAAATTAACGTAATGAAAGCCGATTGGCTAATTAAATCAGCCAATTTAACAACATAATGGGCTTAATTGAATACAAATCCAATTGGTTATAAATTTTTCGCGTCAATGATGTGAAATAAATTAGACATTTCAAGTTTTTCTAGGTTAAGTTCACTTTCATTAAATAATAATCATCATTTGGGAGGTGATAATCTTATTGAGTTTTACTCAAAGTGCCAAAAAATGTTTGACCATTAAAAAAAATTCGTTTGTAAAAGAAGTTCACTTTTAAACATTTTATTTCATTACGTAGTAATTTAAATAAATTTGAATAAAAATATGAAATAATATAGGCAGCGAACCATTTTAGCTGGCTGGGATATAATAAATCATTATTCATATTAAAATAATAAAGTGAACACACACACACGCACACATACACATATATATAATATATATATACATGTGAGCAATATCAATATAAAAATAATTCAATATATGTTTTGATTATAAATCAATGCTTCTTCCAAAAAAAATTAACATTTAGATAAGACGTTTACTTTCGTATGTATGTATGTATGTATGTATGTATGTATGTATGTATGTATGTATGTATGTATGTATGTATGTATGTATGTATGTATGTATGTATGTATGTATGTATGTATGTATGTATGTATGTATGTATGTATGTATGTATGTATGTATGTATGTATGTATGTATGTATGTATGTATGTATGTATGTATGTATGTATGTATGTATGTATGTATGTATGTATGTATGTATGTATGTATGTATGTTAAAACCAAAACATGATGAGTGACACTTAACCGTCAAACATCAAGTAACAAATGGATTAACACTTTGATTTGTATGTATGTATGTTTGCATGTATGTATATATGTATGTTTGCATGTATGTATGTATGTATGCATGTATGTTTGTGTGTATGCATGTATGTATATAAGTATGAACGTATGTATGCATGGTTACTTTTGATTTTATCATCACCACTTTAAAACATTAGCACCAATTTTATGGTATATAAGGATAAATGAACGTGTAATTTGAAAACACAGTAAAACACACACACACACACACACAAATACATACAAACACACACACACATATATCCATATAATCTTATCAATATAAATATACACACACACACACACACACACACACATATATATATATATATATATATATATATATATATATATATATAATTGGATCTATTAAGCAAGGAATGAATGAATGAATAAGAGATTAAATAAAAAGATTTTTTTTTTATAAAAATACTAAATGACATACAACAATATTATAGAATTATAAAGAATGGCTATATAACATAATTATTACGTTAATATATATGGAATTACTATCAATATGTACTGTTCAATGTATGTATATATATATATATATATATATATATATATATATATATATATATGATGCTAGTATATGGAAATACACACCCACTCTTTCTCTCTCTCTCTCTCTCTCTCTCACACACACACACATACACACACACGCATACCCTTCTCTTTCTCACACATATACAAATACACACACACACACACACATATATATATATATACGCAATTTTGTAAAATGTAAACTTATAAGAAGATTGAATAAAATTCGTTCATGAGCAAGTAAGTGTTTCACAATTAGATTGTTTAACAAAAATAGTAATAATAATAATAAATATAACTATAATAATAATAATAATTATTATTATTTTTATTATTACTACTAATAAGATCATCATCATCATCGGTGTTAAATAGGAGAGAGAAGAACGAAAGAAAGAAGAAAATATGAACTGATGATGATGACGATGAAAGAGTGAATAAAAACTCACACACACACTCACACTCGCTCACACGCACACATACTAACACGCACACATACTAACACGCACACATACTAACACGCACACATACTAACACGCACACATACTAACACGCACACATACTAACACACGCAAGCGTAATCACGCCAGCACGAATGAGAAAAATAAAACTGAAATGGATAAAGTTAGATCACTCTACTACGTTAATTACGTTACTTTAAAAGAAACATAAAATAAATCGATCGACAAAGACTCTCTCTCATTTATCTCTCTCTCTCTCTCCCGTCTATCTGCATTTCTCTATCTCGCTCTTTTTCTCTCTCTCTCTCTCTCTCTCTCTCCTTCTCTCTCTCACCCTTCGTAGACTTCTCCTGATTTATTCCTAAGGTAGTTGCACGGAATGTAGCCCCTTTCCTGGGTCCTCCTGACAGTTCCGACGCACCAGCCATCCCTGATTGGCGTGACGTCATCGATGACGTCGTTCTCTCGGAAGGAGACGATGTTTTCATTGTCGTCGTCGTCATCCTCTCGGTCTGGATCGTAGTCGTACATGGCTATCAGGCAGTCCCCCTCGTCCTGCTGACCTTCCTAGGTTGGTGTTGGTCGTTGTTTTTCTCTCAACATTTGTATGACAAAACATACATACATACATACAAAACATAAAAAAACATCTATAAAAACATACAAAACATTTGTATGACAAAACATACATACATACAAAACATAAAAGACATCTATAAAAACGTGCAAAACATTTGTATGACATGAATGCAACGAAATGCCAACCCTTTTCAAACCTCACAACATTTGAAAAACATTTGTACGAAATGCAATGAAATGAATTGGAAATATTTTTATTGAAAGCAGGACTTATTTCCTACTAATATAAGAACGAAAGATGTGGCAGTACTAACATTCAACCCTCGTCCCCCACCATCATTCTCATCTTCATCGTCTTCTTCTCCATCATCACGTCTCCTCCTAACACCACCGATGTCTCTCTCACTTGCCAACATAACCCCCGACGCTTCAACTGATAATTTAGATTGAGCGCCAAACGAGTCGTCAACATAAGTTACTATTTCTTTTGTTTCCACGTCAGCAAGAGAAACTGCAGCTGCTTCTTGCTTAGCTACCGGGCTAACATTATCATTAACAACAGCAGAGATTTGATTGGCTGTGGAGACAGCTGTAGCAGCTGATGTGGTTGTAGTGACGGTAGCTGTGCTTGCATTGGAAGCAGCTGCGATGGTCGTTGGGTCTGGAAGTTTGGTTTGAAGTATGGTGGTGGCCTGTATGACTTTCTCGACCGATTGTTCGGCGCTTTTATCTGGCACGTCATCATCCCCATCAACGTTATTATTATTATTATTATTATTATTATTATTATTATTATTATTATTGCTCTGACAAGTGAGACCTCTGTTTGTATCGTCACCATCGTCATCGTCTTCGTTCATTCTTTCAGGACTTTTGTAGCGATTAAAATCGTCATCGTCATTTTTGCCAGCATCATCATCATCATCGTCGTCACCAACACGTTTGATGGCATAACTGATGCAATCCTCCGCGATGCTGGCCGCTATGGCATCTACTTCCGGCGGAACCATCTTCATCTCATCCTCATCATCGTTGACGTCATCATCGTTCTTATCGTTGCTAATTGGGAAAGCTGGCTCTGCTGCTCCTTCTAGAAATTATAGATAATAATAATTATTATTAATTATAATTAGAAATTATTTTCAAAATTATCAAAAAATATATATTGCAGAGCAAAATGATAGTTACCGTCATCATTGTCATCAGTTTTGCTGCCAACCGCATCATCAGCACCAGCAGCAGAAGAAGTAGCAGCAGCAGCAGCTTCATCTGTCTTCATCGTTATCATCACATCGTTCTTAGTCATCACATTATTACCATCATTCTCCACGAATGTATCATCATCATTATCATTATCGACATCAGCCGATTGCTGTTGCTGCTGATGTTGTTGTTCTTGCGTTAGTGACGCCGGGAATTCCGTGTCTATAAACAGAAAAGTTGTTTTTAGTTCGTGGCTAAACTACTCCTATGACATCATCATACATTGAGAAAGTTTTATCATCATCATTTCCGTCACCATTATCATATTCAAAAATTTATTTTAATAATAATAATTAATCCTCTCATCCTCTCTCTCTCTCTCTTTCTTTTTTTTTCTCTCTCTCTCTTACCTTCACTAGCGCTACTTCTACTTTTAGGCTTGTAGCCGCCAGCCAACGAGCCATAGTTTTCATTAACAGGGTCGTAGTCAGCTATCGAACCGACCTTTTTGGGCGGGGCTCTTGAAGTCTGGGCTGTTGTGATTGGTTGAAGACGATGTTAACTAATTAGCATATTATGAATGAATTAACATTATGATATCGGTGTTAACTAATTAGCATATTATGAATGAATTAACATAATAATATCGGCATCACCTTTGGTTCCGTCCGACCCATATATGGTAGAGTTAGTGACGCATCTTGATTTAAATGGTGAATATTTTTTACCATTTTCGCTACCGCTATCGTTGCTGGCCGCCCTCGAGATTAAGCTGTTCATAGCTTTGCTTCGATAGCTTAGCTGCTGTGGTTGTTCTGCCGCAGTTGCTGCTGTTTGTGGTTGAGTCGATAAATTTTCATTTTAGTTTCATTGAGAAATATGAGTGAGAGTGTGAGAATGATGATGACAAAAGTTCGCTCTCTAAGCAAAATCATGAAACATCATTACTATCACGATCAAAATCGTCACCACCACCATCATCATCATCATCATCGTGAATATTACCATTGTTGTTTTTAGCCTCTGCAGAATCACCAACATCCAAAGAAATGCTCGGTTTGAACGCTGCTGAACCGCCACTGAGCCTGTTTATTATCATCATTATCATCTTAATCATCATCCTAATTTTCAACAACAACAAAAATTACAACACAATTATTTTTATTTCTGAAAATCACACAAACACACACACACACACACACACACACACACACACATATATATATATACCTTTTATTGCCCTTGTATTCTAATTGGCTGATGAGGTTGTTGACCTTCTTGACCCTTTGAGTGACCGGGTCATCCGCTACCTCGATTTTGGAGCCTTTAATATTTTTCTCAAAGTCTTCGTGATACTTGACCTAGAAAAAAGAGCATATATAATTAGATGTAATTGGGTCAAAAAATTAGTTAACTAGATAGAAGTCAGCAAATCGAATATCTTTATGTAATTAGGTCACATCTGCAAATAGTAGTTAATTGGTTGCACTTTATATGCAATGGTGTTATAATAAACGATCAGACCAGATCATTAACATAAAATGGATTTATTAATGACGGGTTCATGCTAATTAGGTCAGGTTAATTAGGTGATGAATATTAATAACCTGGCTCTGAATTTTAGTATTTTGGGCTATCCTGGCCAGTTCTGGCGTCTCAGCTACTGTCGTTGCTTTGCTTTGCGGGCAGTGGCTGTTATGATAATGATGATGATGACGGTGATGATGATGACGATGATGGTGGCGGCGGTGATAATGATGGTGGTGGCAGTAATGGTAATGATGTTAGGGAAGATGAAGAAGATGATGATGATGATGATAAAGTTTAGGAAGAGTTGAGAAAATAATAAAGACGATGACTAAAAATTACAACTCACGCAACTATGATTCTATCGTTATTATTTATAGAATTTTCTGGAAATAATTATAACTGTGTGTGCGTGTGTGTGTGTATGTGTTTATGTGTGTGTTTTCGAGTGTGTTTATGTGTGTGAGTGTGTGCTTTCGAGTGAGATTATGTGTTTGCGTGTGTGTTTATGTGCGCGCGTGCGTCTGCGTAGTACGTAATTAAACTCAGTTGGAGAGAAAGTTATTAAAATTATTGTAGCTTTAAAACATGTAATATAACAGTATTACTATTTTATATATACTGCTTACAACTACTGCTACTACTACGACTACTACTATATCTCTTACTACTGCTGCTGCTGCTGTTGCCGCCACTACCACTACTACTACTATTACTACTACTACTACCACTACTACTACCACTACCAAACTAGTTATTATTACTATTATCAATAATAATAATAATAATATTATTATTATTATTTTAAATATATATAATAATAATATGTATTGTGGATGGCGTCGAGGGGTATTTCGGTTTCATCATAGGTGTGGATGGCGTCGAGGGGTATTTCGGTTTCATCATAGGTAGCCAAACGGCAACCCCCGATCTCGGGGAAAATGCCGTCTAAACGTGTGTTGTTGTTGTTAATAATAATATGTATATATTATTTTATAATACAATGAAGAAACTAGTCGGAGATCTGCAAGAACAGGATGTTACATGAAGAGAGCAAGAAAGATATGAATATACATAGGCCCCACTATTTTAGTTAATGCTGTTTGGTTGTTAATTAAGTTATGGAGAAATAATTAAAAATAAATGAATGATTGTGTGAATGAATGAATGTATGTATGAATGAATGAATGAACGAACGAATGAATGAACAAAGAACAAACAAGCTACTTAATGAAAGAATTAACAAACAAAACGAAAACAACCAAGTAAATAATTATTATACCTATTCTTCTATTCATTCATTCTTTCATTCATTCACCTATTTCATAATTCATTAATTCATTTCATAATTCATTAACCTATTTCATAATTCATTCATTCATATCTTTATTCAATTATTCATTGTTTGGTCGGGCACAATTTGAAATTTCATTTGTCCATTCAAGTTGTTGACATAAGCTTAAAAGCATAACATGACAGTATTAACATTTTAAAATTTTTGTCGTCCATTCAATCATTCGTTCATTCAGCGTTGTTTGAATATTTAGCTAAAAAAGATACAACACACCTGACTTCTATTGTTGTCCAACAATAACAACAATAAATAATAATAATTAATAATAATAATATTTTTAAAGACATAGTGCCATTTAGCCAATATATAAGGATATTAATATTATGTTCAATACCTGCTTCTACATCTACTACTACTGCTACTGCTACTACTACTACTACTACTGCAGCTACTACAATTACAACTAAAACTACTACTACTTTTCACTACTAATATCTTTTTTGTCAGTCACAATCGGTATTCACAAAATTCTAACAAAGCCTAAATAATACCTCACCTGGAGTTAATAACTCTTATAGAGAAGCAATAGCAATAACAATAACAACAACAACGTTAATAATAGCAATAATAATAATAATAATAATAATAATAATAACAAAATTAAGAATAATGAGCAGTAACAACATCAACACCATCATGGACATTATCAAGGTAAACCAGTACCTCCATCATTACATATATATATATATATATATATATATATATATATATATTTATATATTTATATAATATTTATATATAAGTAATTATCATAGTTTATCATCATATTCATTATTATTATTGTTATTATTATTATTGTTATAATTGTTATTTTGCTGTGCAATGTTAAGTGTGTGATTGAATGTGGGTTAAGACTGATTAAAACATTCAGATATGGTTGATCATTATTTTTATTATTTGTGATTATTATTTGTGATTATTATTATTATTATTATTATTAGTTATTATTATTTACAATATATTTATTCAATTATTATCATTACTCTATTAAAGCACATAACAGGCAAATAAACATGCAAGAAAGTAGTTGGCATGTTAGGAAGAGATTTTAAAAGGATATCATTAATAGCAATAAATATTCGCACACACACGCGCGCTCGCACGCACACAAAAGAAAACATTTACATACACTAACAAACACACAAAAATTAACACACACACACTCACAAGCACACACATACACACACAAATACACCTATATAACAAAAATAACACTACTATGCCTTTTGATCTTTTACAAACTATGACTCAGAAAGAAAAAAAATACAATTCATTATTACAAACAGTCATATGTAGTGTATATATGGTATATATAATAACAATAATAATAATAACAATAATAATAAAAATAACAAAATAATAATAAAAATAAATAAATTTCCATTGCTAACGCAACACAGTAAGGCAATTTGTTGTAGCCTTTGTAGGTTTTTACATTCAACAGCATCTGACATTCTGTACACTTGAAACATGCCTTATGCCAAACCTGTATTTTTGTAATTATATAATTTGTATTATTATCATTCTTATAAAATATAAGAGTGGTATTAATCATGGCTAATCTAATATAATTTGATTTAATTTTAAAACCAAAGCCAAAATTTAACTTTGAGCATTTGTAAAAAAAAGAGTCAAGAAGAAACTATTAAATAACTAATGTTTGTGAAAGATTAAGATTACCAAAATTAAAAAACTTTACCAAAGCTAAAGTAAAAATAGGCCAGGTAAACAATAAATTAGTGAAATTAGTAAATAAAAAACTAAAGAATGGTATTCATGCCGAAAATAATTAACAATAAAATACCAACTGTAAACACTAGATCATGAGTTGAACAATTATGATTATAATAAAAATATTATTTTTAATTATTATTTTTTAAATAAAAAAACAAAATTAAATAAATTAAACAAAATTGAACAAAAAATAAAAAATAAAATAACCTTGTCCAAGCATTTCAGTTCCTCAAGAGGATAAACTGATTTCTGGCACTTTGTACAGACTTTTACCATAATTAATTATTAGATTTAAATTAAATATTAATTAAATAAAATAAATTCAGTCGGGAATTGAAAGTTTTAATTCTTATTTTAAAAACTGTCATTCGCTAAACCGCATTTAAATGTTTTTTGCCAAATGGGTGATGTTAAGAAATTTTTAAACGTGAGACAAAGAACATTAAACTATGTACCACCAAAAGGATTTGTTTTTAATTTCAAATTCAAAAGATTATATCATGGATATGAATATATTTATATTATATATATCCATGAGTTATATACTTATGTATACAAATGTATAATAACTAAAACACATGAAAATACAAAAATATGACCGTAAATTTAACAAAAACGTACAATCTAATAACTTTTCTATTCATCCTTCTTGGTATCAAACGTATCAGATTTCAAAGATAGTTTAGTGTGGGTCAGACGTGCGTTAGTATGGGCTTTGATGTGTTTATGCGTGTATTATGGAGTGTATGTTTACGTATGTATATATATACACACTACACTCATATATCTATTTATCGTATGGAATCGCTACGTAAATAACATGACATAACATAGCATAACATAAGATTTTTTATAGTGAACCAAGTCTGTGACAGGACCACTGAGACTTTTTTTACCATCCTACTTTTGCCATGTTTCTTTTAAAGTTATCAGTTGTTTCTGCGCATATTATTTAATCTTTCTCCAAAACCAACTTTTTGCTGTCTATTTTGTAGTGTGTTTCCACTTGAGTGTGTTTCCTGTGATTCCACTTGCCTCCAATTTTAAGACCAAACGTTTATGCGGTCGGTACCTTATCGAAAGCCTTAGCAAAATCCAAGTACAAAATATCCACTGCTTTCTTCTTGTCAAAATTTTCATAAACCTCTTTAAAAAAAAGTTAAGCAAATTTGTTAGGCACGAACGCTTATCCCTAAATCCGTGTTGGCTCTTGTATATGATATCGAATTTTTGCCAAGTGATTCACAATTATCTTTTTAATCATCCTTTCTAGTACCTTGCATACAATGCTTGTAAGGCTAATTGGTCTATAATTTCCTGAGTCGCAACGATCTCCTTCCTTGAAGAGTGGCACTATGATTATATCTTTCCAATCTGATGGTATTTCACCAGATGCCATTAGTTGAATCATTAGTTAAAAAAACGATTCTTAATACTTTGACATTGATAAGCTGACACATATCCATCATTTGATCATTTGTAATAAAATTGTCGTTAAGTAATCAACAGAATTAAATAAATTTTTCGATGGATAGAAACCAAACAAAAGCAATTTTCCTATTTTAATAGCTTTTATCTATACCTAATCCATTCTGAAGCTTTTAAAAATTGTGCAGACGTGAGATTATTTTTTACGAGGGTCCTAGATATATAAAGTAGTTTCTACATCTATGGTGGGTGATGATTTACCAAAAGAGTTCATGGCAAGCCATCATCAAAATATGAAAACAGCACAATTCGCATTTTATTCATTTATCGCTCTCATCAACCTAAACCATCATTATTCTGAAAGCAATATGGCCGATCGATTGTTCCATGTACATGACGTAATAATATTTACGTGACGTCAACAAAGAACAATTGAACTATTTCAGTATTTTCATCAAAGATAAAACATTTCAAGAAAGTCGTCAATTAATTATGTTCATTGTTTATTTTTTTGTAGATTCAAAAGCATCCTTGTCATTTATAAAAAATATTATGCGTAATAAAAATGTATTAAATAATAATATTTTGACTTTTTATAATATAAATGTGATAACATTATTTTATACTTCCTTGGTAACGAACAGAATGAAATACTTGGCGGTAGTTTTGACCAGGGTGTCACCAGGAAAGATTTCTTTCAATCTTTTTCAATAACAAAATTAAGTAAAAATTGCAACTCAAGATAGAACCGAACCCACACGCTCACATCCAACCAATATAACTAAATAATATAACCAAATTTAATATTATCAATTAATAAACAAATGATAAAATTATATTTTAATAATTATAATTGAGCACATACACACAACAGGGCTTACGGACTATTCATTCAAGGGCTTACGAAAGCCAGAAGAACATAAATCAAAGAAGTATTTGTATTAGAAGTCTGTGAAACATTTTTTCAACGGAAAAGGTACTGTCTTTTGACGAAAATTGTCGTGATAAGCAAAAAAAAGTCAATATTTCAACCCAACATTTTTGGCAGTGTTGCCAAAATTAGGCTGACGACCTATATTTTTTTTGCTTCTTACGTCAATTTTTGGTTGATTTTCGACATCAAACTGCGCTTTTTCAGTTAGCACATTGAGTTTTACTGACTCACAACACAACTGGGAAGAGGTACCAGATCCATCACAGCACACGCACACATACACACGCTCACACACGCTCACACACGCACAGTTTTAACTCTAAATTAATAAATATTCTGGCTGGGTACATCGATATATTAAACCATTATTATTATTATTATCTAAAATGTTAGTTAACTTTCAATCCGAAAAACGTACTTATCTCTGACGTCATCCAAAATGTCCGGATGGCCGGGATGTACCTTTTTGTAGTTTCGGTATGCGCACCAGCTACTCAAGTAACCGGCATAATGGTCGATAGTCGATTCTAAATGATCGGTAAACGAATCATCCCTGTTTATAAATTATAATATAAATTTTCATTCAAACTTTTTCACATTTAGAGGTATAAAATGCAATGCAAACATGCATATAAACATCGTACGTAAAGAAGCGTGAATCAGGGCATTATGATTATGATAGCCGCTGAGAAATCTTTGAAATTGAACTACGACACAGAACTCAGACGCTTTTAAACATTACGCTATCTTGTCTCAAAATGATGAATATAATATAAAAATGTAATTTATTTATTCCCAATGTAATAAGTTGATCGAGAGCAAAATTTAAACCTTTCGGCATTCGGGTATAGAGTTTTCAGTTCTTCAAATATATCTTTGTAGCTGTTATCTAAATGTTTGACCTCCTTTGGTTCAAAATCTTTTGTCATCCCAGGACAAAACTTGATGAAATTTTTATTACATGCGTATGTGTATATCTACATGTGTATCTATGAATATATTTGTGTGTGTGCCTATATATCTGTATTTGCATGCGAATGTGCTCGAGTATTTATGTCTGTCTCTCTCTCTCTCTCTCTCTCTCTCTCTCTCTCTCTCTCTCTCTCTGTGTGTTTGTGTGTGTGTGGTGTGTTTTGCATACCTCTTGTTTAATTTTTTCGGCATTTTCATCTTCAAATTCATGAGTTCGGTATCCGTACAATGCCAGCAAGCCCCCAGGTCTCAGCACTTTCATGCACGCTTCGTAAAACTTTGCCCTGTCTGCCAGCCAATGGACTGCTTGGCCAGACTGAAAAGAATTAATCATACATACGTACACACACACACACAAACTTACACACACGTACAGACACACACACACACATATACACACGCACACGCTATAAAAAAAATCACTAACGACAATCAAATCGATACTGTTCTCTGAAAACATTTGCGAGATCATAAGAGCATCTTCGTTTAAATACGTTACTCGGCTCGGGTCCTTCATACCGTATGTCTTCATTTTTCGTAAAATAATTATTTAAAAAAATTATTTTTAATAAATTTTTCTATAATTTTAACGGTGTAATAAAAATAAAAACAGAATAAAATAAATTATTTCAAACTTACGACTTTGGCTTTGAAAATTTGCGTCTTACTCGAGTCAATACCGAACGACTCTTGCACAAAATCGACCAGCATTAATGTCGAAATACCGGTACCGCAACCGATGTCGAGTGCCTCGCGCCATCTACCGTTGTCATTTTTCTTGTATTCTTAGAAAAATGAAATAAATAATATATAAAATAATTTATAATTATGTAATAATTATCAAAACTTTTTTATTTCTCCCTCTCTCTTACTTTCTCTCAATTCGTTCGGTAACCTATCGGTACTTTCGGTAAGTTTCCTGTCGATTATTTCGAATATCTTTTTCGGATATCTCGGTCTGTATTTATGGAACAATTCGGTATGATCCTCATCCTCATATTGACTGCACATCTCTGCTTCTGTCTTTTCGGCAGCTAGCAATGCAAATGATAATAATAATAATATGGATAAATTAGTATCATTCATTTTAAATCTCTGAATTTTGTTTTTATTAAAAATAAAATGGTCAATAATATCAATTGGTAAGACGAAGAATGAACGAGCAAATGAATGAATGAATAAATGAATGAATGAATGGATGAATGAATGAATGAATGAAACCTGAATTAGCTAACTAAACTACTTGATGTTGTTATATAAGACACTACAGAAAACACAGAAACACGTATAAACCCTAGCTAAAAGCACCAAACGACATAAAACAGAACTACAAACCATACAAAAACAAACCGATTCAGAAATTTTATAGTTGCACCACATTGTACATATACTTACCACTTACCAATAGAGGAAAAATGATTTTAAGTATAGCACGTATCTGCTCAATACACTCATCTTTTTTCACTCTCTTTTTCTCTGTCTCTCTCTTTCTCTCTCTCTTTATATATATATATATATATACACTTGAAATTGAATGAATGAGTGTATTGGTGTGTGCGTATGAATGTATATGTTTGTTTGTTTACATAGGTTCTTACTTGAGGTTTTTAGGTCTTTACACGTACACGTGCGTACACATGCATGTGTGTGTATTTACTTTGGGTGTCATCCATCGCTCTCTCTCTCTCTCTCTCTCTTCCCCTCTCTTTTCTCTCTCTCTTTCTGCTGCATAATGTTGCGAAACATTGTGAGAACTCTGGCATTTTGTCGTACAAACTTCTCATTGCTCTGTAATTGATTTCGTACTCTTCTTCTTTCACTTTGACCTGACCCTAACTCTCGCTAGATGACCCCGGATGAATAGGACCCAGACCCAGATTGAAGGGGTGATTGCCAAATGGGGATCTCTGGCTATATTGGGACAAGGTCCATAGATAAAAATGTGACATGAATTTGTTATTAATCGCAGAAATTGCTGACTTGGAAACTAACTAATGATTATGTGAGGTACAATCATGTGTAGGTCTAACGAACATACAACTAATTTGATCGTATTACGTCTATGAGGGTACCATAAATTAAGTACCTTGTGAAGTGCATACTTGAAACGTTCTATTTATTAACGAGTGAAATATGAAACTATTTTCACGTAACGCACATACATTCGTTCGTATACCATGTTTACAAGCTTAGGATTAGGGTTATAGATACACTATTATAATACTGATAGTGCAGATGGTAACTTTTAATATTATTATCATTAATATTTTATTACTATGGAGATTTATATAGCGCACACTATAATGTGATTCGTAAAAATTAACAAGTTTAACGAACTCTGTCACGTGAATAAATGTAAACAAGAAAAATAAACAATGAAAGCTTGATATTTCACACACACACACACACACACACACACACACACACACACACACACACACACACACACACACACACACACACACACATATATATATATATATATATATATATATATATATATATATATATATATATATACATATATATATATATACACACACACACACAGACACGCACGAATTTGTTTATTTCACTCCAACTATCATGAAATATTCACAGGAGGCTTTAACAGGTGAATCTATAGGAATTAGTTTTCCAGATCTGTCAAGAGGATGAATTTATTTTTAAAAATTATTTAACCATTGATTACGTCACACGGGGGGGGGCGAAGGTACATCCCTCCCCCGAAAAAATTCAAATGTTAACTTTATTCGATATAAAGTGTTTAAACAAGTTTGATTATTTTTCTCTGCAAACGTGTGAAGTCACACACCACACACACACTCATTAATGACGTCACACCAACTTGTCGATGACGTCATCGAGTGTATCCGGATGTAGATCGGGGTTGGACTTCTTGAAGTTTCGGTAGACGGCGCAGGACCGCAAGTAACCGACGTATTCGGTTATACTCGTTTCGATCCTGTTCATGTAGGAGTCGCATCTATGAAATAATATAAAAAAAGTAATTATGAATATTATTATAACAAATAACAACAACAATAATAAATAATAATAAATAATAATAATAAATAATAATAAAATAATAGCAAAAACCTTCCAGAATTAGGAAAATATTTCTTTAGTTCAATTGATATGCTTTCGTATTTATCAAGGAAATGATTCATTATTGTCTCATTGCCTTTACAAACGGTCAGAATAAACTGAAAATTATTTGGAAATTATGATGAAATATTTAAAGATAATATTTAGTAATTAGTTAAACACAAAAAGATCCTCGCTTATCCAATGTGTTAAAGAGGAAGAAAGAGAGAGAGGAGAGAGAGAGAGGAGAGGGGAGAGAGACAGAGTGAGAAGAAAAATAGTAGAAAAAAAAGAATAGTAGTAGAAAAAAACTAATGCAAGTGAAAAATTTCTCAAAGTCATCATCATCGTCCTCATCACCACCACCATCACGTCGTCATCATCACCGTCATTACTTCTTTATTTATTTCCTCCAGTCTTTCGTCGTCAAATGTATAACCGGCGTAGCCAATGAGAACCAGCATGCCTCCCGGCCTTAAAACATTTTGGCAGATTTTAAAAAATTTACCCCTTTCAAGCCAATGAACTGCCTGGCAAATCTGTTATTATTTTTATTATTATTTTATTTATTGTTGTTGTTGTTACTCTAGTAGTCTGTGTCTAAGTTTGCCTCTAAGTCTGGGTCTAAGTTTGTGTCTAATTTTGTGTCTAAGTTGTGTGTTTTTTTTAAGAGCGTTTGAATATTTAAAAGGAATTTCCGTATGTGTGTGTGTGTGTGTGTTACCTAACTGCCTAAATAACCAAAAACACTGAACCACTACTGACAATGATTAAATCCACACTGTCTCTCTGGAACATTTTCTCAATGTTAAGTGCATCGTCGCATAGGAATGTCACACGACTCGGATCTCTACAACCGTATTCCTGATAACGATAATAATAATAATAATATATAATAATAATATATAATAATAATATATAATAATAATATATAATAATAATATATAATAATAATATATAATAATAATATATAATAATATTAAATGGAGAAAAACCTATCCACTCACAATTTTTGCCTGGTGTATTTGAGCTTCACTTGCATCAATACCGTAGCTAGATTGGAAGTGCGGGGGTAGCATCAAAGTGGCGAACCCCGTACCGCACGCAACATCCAAGGCCACTCTCCATTTGCTCTGCTTGTTCCTTTTATATTCTGAATGAATGGATGGATGAATGAATGAATGAATGGATGGATGAATGAAAACTGAAAAGATGGTTGGATTAAAGAAAGAGAGAATAGATGAATGGATGAATTAAAGAGTGATTGAATGAAAGAATAAATTATTGAATGAATGAATGAACGAACGAACGAACAAATGATGTACAACACAATGGAATCGACTAACCTTCCCTCAGATGGTCAGGTAACTTATCGGTACTCTCGGTCAATTTTCGATCGATTATTTCGAATATTTCTTTCGGATATTTTGGTCGGTATTTGCGGTACAACTCCGAATGATCGTGCTCTAAAAATAGCTCAGACATTGTTTACTTCCCTGAATTGTTATCATTTATCACATTAAAATTTGAAGATCCAATTACCATTCAAAACACAATAAAATACTAAATGGATTTAAATCTTTTTTACAAAATTTAAAACTAAACAAAATCAACAATAACCAGAAAAAAAAGAAAGAAAAAAGAAATAGGCGGGAAGGTAGCCCATTTGTGCTGAAACGCAAAAAATTGGCAACACAAACAAACATTAAAATTAATTCTTACGAGTATATGTACACTACAGCTATGACACTGTTGTTGTACAACAACAGTGTCATAACGAAGTAAATCGTGACTACACAGTACTACCCTTTACATGCTAACACTAATAGTCCTGACCTTTGTAATATTACCTAAACTGAACTGAGTCTCGTTATTATTTCGACACTAACACTAGATATAACGAAACGAAGCGCAGTACTAATCCATGCTGTAAAAAATAAAAATTATGAAATAAAATCAGCAAGTTATGTAGCGACTTATGATTACTATTATTTAAACTTGCTGTACACACACACACACACACACACATATATATATATATATATATATATATATATATATAATAAATAAATAATGCAGGTAAAAGATGTTTCTTATTATAGCTTAATGTTTGGGTAATGCACTGTCTTTCTATATATTTATACAATGCACACATATATACACACACATATTTTTTTTTTTTGTATTTTCAAAGTTTATTCGTAATCAACAACATATCAAATAAGTGAATAAAAGTTATGAAGTTGAATATGCGGAGACCGAATAAGACTGTTTGTCTTGTGGTCATATATATATATATATATATATATATATATATATATATATATATATATATATATATATATGTAACTAGTTCGATATTAATTAAAACGCAACAACCGATATATATAATTGAACTTCTTTCATCAAAACCTAACTAAATATTTAGATCAAGTAAAACCAATATATTATTGAACTTCTTTTATTAAAACCTAACTAAATATTTAGATCAAGTAAAAGTAAAACCAATTTATTATTGAACTTCTTTTACTAAAACCTAACTAAATACTTAGATCAAGTAAAACCAATTTATCATTGAACTTCTTTTACTAAACCCTAACTAAATATTTAGATCAAGTAAAACCAATATATTATTGAACTTCTTCTACTAAAGCCTGACTAAATATTTAGATCAAGTAAAACCAATATATTATTGAACTTCTTCTACTAAAGCCTGACTAAATATTTAGATCAAGTAAAACCAATATATTATTGAACTTCTTCTACTAAAGCCTGATTAAATATTTAGATCAAGTAAAACCAATATATTATTGAACTTCTTTTGCTAAAGCCTGACTAAATATTTAGATCAAGTAAATCAAACTAAAATAATAACCAACTTTATTAATGTCAATTCCGGCACAGCAAGAACAAAATAGGGAAGAAGGTGCCTTAACTCATTTGTGCCAGCTATTTGACATGTCGCTAACGCACGTGCATTGTGCTTGTAAATAACCCACGTGACCACATTTCCATTACACACATATATAATAATTATTATTGTTTAATAATATTGTTGTTGATTATCATTATTATTGTTTATTATTATTTTTATTCATTGTTGTTATTATTATTTAAATTATTTCAAGCCAAAGACGACAAAATAATCGAACGATCTTTTTATTAGTTTGTCTTCTTCGGGGATGAATTTCTTCAATCTGAATCAAATAATAATAATAATTATTATTATATAATAATAATTATTATTATTATTATTGTCTTAATTATGTCTAACTTTTCCCTGAAAGTTTCAAGAACGTCTGGATGTGGTGGGTTAGTCCTTTTGTAAGCTCTATAATTGCTCCAGGTACTCAGATATCCAACAAACTCATCGACTGTAGATTCCAAGTTCTCAACTACGGTGTCGTCTCTAACAAAATAATTACTTATAATTATTATCATATATAATTATTATATTATTATTGTTTATTAATATTGTTCATCCATTCACTCATTCATCCATTCATTCGCAAATCCATTCGCTCATTCATTCAAACACCTATTCATTCACCCATCAACATATCCACACATTCATCAATATTATCATAATAATAATAATAATTATTATTATTATATTAATGTGACCTTTCAACTTTGGGGAAATAATTTTCGAGTTCTTTGAAGATTTCCGAATACTTATTTTCAACGTGAGACCTCACAGTAGCTATGGTCTTCCGCGACTCACCCAAGTACTAAATTCGTTCATATTGAATTCAAAATTGTTCTAATCATTAATAATATTATTTAATCTAAAATTCTAAATCATGTTGTTATTGTATGGCTCAAACTTTCGCATCGCTATGGCGCGGTAACCTAGATTGAATGCTTTCCGCTTAATGTTATGAAACTACTAAATACTTCGTATTTGTTCTATTTCATCGTAACCAACAACCTCTTTATTCATTTCCTCAAGTTTTTCATCTTTCAGCACGGGTAAACCATACCCCACGAGAGCCAGTACACCTCCAGGTCGCAAAATTTTCAAACATTCCTTGAAAAGCTTGTCCCTATCTATCCAATGAACCGCCTGGCACACCTGGCAGAAAGTAGTTAACCTAACTAGCGTTTTGTGGGATTGAAGTGGATTGGGAATGTTTCAAATGTATGAAGTAATTGAAATGCTATTTTTTCTTGTTTTCATCGCTAATCGGTTTCAAAAAGAAAAGCATGGCATAAAACATCTCTCTATTCTCCAGTAGCAGTGAATTCAAACTAACAAGAATCAAATCGACACTCCCATCACGGAACTTCTGTGATATGTTCAGTGCGTTCTCGCACATGAAAGTCACCCGAATTGGATCTTTATTGCCATATTCCTAAAGATAAAATGGATAAAATACTATAAGGATCAGTTTTTTTTAGATAAAATATATTGCAAAATACAATAAAGTGAGTGGACCGTAATGACCGTAAATGGCGGGGAAAATGAGCGGAACACGCAAGGATGACATACCAGCCTGGCTTGATGAATCTGCGATTCGCTGGCATCGATTCCCCCAATCTCCTGCACGAAATCCACCAACATTAGAGTGGCTTGCCCCGTTCCACACGCGACGTCCAGGGCAGTTATCCAACGGTTGAACTCATTTCGCTTGTGTCCTGTGTTCAAGGGGCTTCGTTTAATCTCGTTAAAACAGAAAAATTGATAAAGTACTATAAAAACTGAAAATTGCGTTAATCTATCAAACATTACCTGTTACTTGCTTGCTTGCACGGGTTTATTATTAACATTTCACAGACACGCAATTTACTCAAGCGCCAAAAAGAACATATATATTATATATATATGTGGATTGTATATAGACGTAGGTTTCAATGCATACGAAACATGACATTGCATATCAGAAACAGGGGGCTCTAACTACTGAGCTATCACTGCACTAACTGAAGTATTTCATTTTAAATCAACTAACATTCTTTCAGATCATTAGGCAGTTTAGCAGTATTCTCCGTAAGTTTGCGATCGATAATCTCGAATATACTTTTCGGATATTTCGGTCGGTACTTGCGGTACAGCTCCGCGTGCTCCGATTCTAAAAATAAATCCGACATTTTCGTTGATGTTTACAACTCGAGATAAACCCAGAGACTGATATTGAGAAGAAAAAAACAACGATGTATAACAGAAAATTTAATTAAAACGACGTAGCGTGACACCTAACACAAAAAATTATTTTTCAGGTCAATGTTTGATGGGGCCGATAGTCGGGACGATATTACATACATATACAATACTTCTTGTACATGAACATACCAGTCGAATGCACGATATATAATACATACACTTAACTTAGATGCGTTCATTGTGTATGTCCGCACATACATGCCAACCTCAATTAGCGCTACACAAATGTGATATATAACAAAATAGATAATTATATTTATATATCTTTATTTATTCACATCTACATAACTTAGCAATATAGTCAAACGACCAGCATTACACAGATGCACGCACACACACAAACATACACACACACACAAACATACATACACACACACACACGTATATACGTGCATACTCTTTCCGAATAAGTTTCTTTCACAAAACAAGGATTCACTTCTCGCGTTGAAATTTTCACGACAGAGAACTTGGCAAAATTTGGCTATGCCGAAAATTGTCATTATTATTATTTATTATTATTATTATAGTTATTATTAAGTTTACTATTGTTATTTTAAAGATTTAATGCCAAAAACGATGAAAAAATCGAATTTTCTCTTCAAAATGGCATCGCCTGGAACGCATTTCTGCAATCTGAAATTTTAATAAAAATTTATTACATACGAATTTTATTATTTAGTAAAAAAATTAATATATAAATAATAATAAAATAATAATAATGGACGGAGAAATGTCGTGCGGTAACAAAGTTCCAGCTTAACTGGTCCGAATTGCAAGAGATTCAACATCAACATCCAAAACATTTTAACTCGTAACGCCAAAAAGACGCCTGTTTTTAACTTCGAATTTTTGCAGTATTCGCGTTATACATGCCAATAATTAACATCATTATAAATAAACCATAATAATAACAATAATAATTTATAAAAATTTTGATATAATTAACATTATTATAAATAAACTATAGTAATAACCATAATAATTTTGATTATAATTAATTAGGCCTAACTTTTGCCTGAAAACTTCGAGAACATCTGGATAAGGTGGGTTGGTTCTCTTGTAGGTTCTGTAATTGCTCCAGGTGCTTAGGTAGCCAACGTATTCGTCAACTGTAGAATCTAAGTTTTGAACTATACTGTCGTCTCTGTAATTATTTTGTAATAATATTTATTATTATTATTGTTTCAATAATAATAATAATAATCATTATTATGAAATTGATTTAGGAATAGTTGACGGATGTGATGTTGTTTGTATGTTGCACTGCACGAGATGTGTGGTTGATAGGATGCTTATTCATCCATTCATTCTTTCGTTCGTTCTTACATTTATTCATTCACTCGTCAACTCATTAATTGATTGATTCATTCACTCATCAAATCATTAATTGATTGATTCATTCATTCATTCCATCACCCACTCATTCATTAACCTCTCAACACACGGAAACACGCATCTCAGTTCCTTTATAACTTCGGCATATTTATCATCAATGGTCGATCTAATCGGCGAGTCTTTCAGCGATTCGTCAATGTACTGAATAATAATAATAACAATAAGAATAATAACAAAAGTAATAATAATAATAATGAATGAGTGTATGAACGAATAAACAAACAAACGAATGGCGAATAAATGACAACCGACTAACATATCCTTTTTTGTCACAAACTTTTGCAAAATATAAATTCAATTGATCAATAATCTTATAATTGAAAGAACAAAAAACGAATGAATGAACGAAGGAATGAATGAACAAACAAACGAACGAACCAGCCGACGAACCTACCCACCTCCCTATTTAATTTATCAATGACTTCGTCATTGAAAAAAGGCAGCCCGTAACCTACCAGGGCAAGAACCCCTCCTGGTCTTAGAACCTTCAAACATTCTCTAAAAAAATTCGCCCTATCAAACCAATGTATTGCTTGGCAGACCTGAAAAAGACCCAAAAACAAAGGAACGAGAAGTTACAAAAATTCGTAATATAATTATTTTCATTCATTATTATTGTTATAAAAATTATATTAACAACACCATTTAATACACCGCTAAACGTTGAAATACACATACAATGCGATAAAACACAACATTATATATGCATATATACAAAATCTTACCACACTTACCATTTAATCAATACCACATGTAGATACACAAACAAGACGATACGAAACGATAGAATAAACGAAACGAAACTAACCAGTATCAAATCTATACTGTCTTCTTCAAACGCTTCTGATATTTTCAACGCATCTTCACACAAAAATGTAACTCGACTTGCGTCCTTATCTCCACATTCCTGGTTTTTTAAAGATAATAATTATCATTTTACTCATATTTTATCTATTAATAATAAAATAATAATTATTATTAACATTTATTAATACTATTTCATAGAAACTTGAAAAAATTGCGATATGTGTAACAACAGGCAAGCAAAATTGCCAACAAAAAATTGAGAAAATCCCCCAAAATGCAAAAACATGCAAAAAACAAAACGTGAAAAAATGGAAAAACCACAAAAATGGCTCGAAAAACTAACAATTTTAGCTTGATGAATCTGAGAGTCACTTGAATCGAGGCCGACTATTTCCTGTACGGAATCCAGTAACATGAGTGTTGCCTGTCCAGTGCCGCAACCAACATCCAATGCCCTCTTCCATCTGCCTTCCCGGTTTCTCTTGTATTCTTGAGAGAGAGAGAGAGTGAGAGAGAGAGAAAAAGAGAGAGAGAGAGAGAGAGAGATAAATAGAAAGTACATACATATATAATAAAAAAAACATATGCTAGAGTTAACTAACTTTCTTTCAGACCGTCAGGCAGTTTAGCGGTACTTTCAGTCAACTTTCGATCGATTATCTCGAATATTTCCTTTGGATACCGAGGTCGGTATTTACGGTACAACTCCGCGTGCTCGGCTTCTAAAAATAAATCCGACATGTTTCTCTCTTATATCTTTCTCTCTTTCTTTCAAAAATTTTTTTTTATCAAAAACCAAATTTAATTATTATCCGTTGGAGGAAATCCTATATCCAAGTTATGCTAATGTTACACGGTTATGTAACAACTAAATACACAGCATTACATGCTTGATACATATATATCGCACATACAGACACGTACGTATAAGCCTGTCTATCTATTTATAGATCAAATAAGCCATAAAACTAAAAAACGGATACATTTTTAAACAATAAAGAGAGAGAGAGAGAGAGAAGGGGGGGAGAGAGAAAGAGAGAGAAGAAAGAAAGAGATAAGAAATTATGATTATTGTTTTGTTAAGTCGTTCATTGTATCATAATATGCCTGCTAGTACCTCATTAACAGTAGTCATCTGACTAGATAATGAAAATAATAATAACCAAAATAACAACAAGTACAACAATAATAATAATAACACCAACAAATAATGACAATAATAAACATAACACGTAACCATGGCACAGGTCTAACAACATACATACACACACATACATACACACACATACATACACACACATACATACACACACATACAATCACACACATACACACACACACACATACACACACACACACATACATACACACACATACATACACACACATACATACACACACAAACAAACATACATGCATATATTTGCAACAATGCAGTCTTATCATCCAAGGTTCAACTACACAGTAGCTAAAACAATATCACAGATAACAACAGCAACAAAAACAACAACAACGTCAATATAACCAACCGGCTTGGCTCACTCATTCTAAGTATGTATTTTAAAGCTGACACACGCACACATACACACACGCACAAACTGCACCAAAACCTCAACTATTTCACAGACGCGACTGTAACATGGTAGGATGTAAAATATCGATCAGCCGCATCGTCGTCATCGTAGCCACCACAGCTACCAATTTCATCATCGTCGTCCTCATCATCATCAACATTCACGTCGTCGTCATAATAAATAATTTATTTATAATAATAAGCGAACCGAACATCTGCCCGGTTGAGTATATTTATACTAGATGCAATCATCATCACCACCACCACCATCATCATCATTACCGTCCTACCATCATCATCACCACCGTCCTACCATCATCATCATCGTCGTCCTATTATCATCATCATCAGCATCATCATTATCAGTACCATCGAAAACATCATCATCACATCCTTCTTAATTTCAATCGGAGAAGATTAATATTATTATTTTTATTATTTAACTATAATTATTATTAACCTTTCAAAATAATAAACACGTAAAAAATATATATATGTATCATCATATATATATTTATATATATATATATATACCAGTGATGACGAGTACTTAAGTACATTTGTACTTAAGTACGCACTTAAGCACAAATGTAGAACTTAGATACTTATACTTAAGTACATTTTTCAGTACTTGTACTTATAAGTAATAAATTTTTCCTGTAAGTACCAGAAAAATTTTAAGCAAAAATAAGATAATGTCAACATTTAAAAATTGAAAACTGTGATGAAAACACACACACACATTTTCACATTGACATTCTTGTTTATCTCTCTTATCAACATTTGTTCATGTTTAGTCATGGATAGCGGGATGTTAAGATAACCATTGGCAAATTGAGTCATTAAATGGTGGTTAACTCATTTCACTCTGACATCTATATATCTATATCATAGACTCTACATGATCTATATACACATGCACGCTATATATAGTAGTTATTATATATATATATATATATAACAATCCTTATAAATATATGTGTTAAAGTGTTTTTGTTCACATTTTAAATATACGTGTTGAAGTGTTTTTGTTTACATTATAGATATAGGTGTTGAAGTGTTTTTGTTAACATTATGAATATATGTATTGAAGTGATTTTGATGAAAATGGCTGATAAAAAGATGCCTTTAGTAGTTAGGAACTATTTTAATGAAGTAGTTGAAGATGATGGAGATGTTATAGTTGCACTTTGTGACTTGTGCAAGCCAAAAAGACATCTTATTCGTGGACAACATAAAGCTCCATCCAATTTGCTATTTCGGTTAACAACTATATTAATGTTCCTTAGGTATCCTGCTGTCGCACAAGTGTTTTTGAAGTACAATACCACTGTGCCATCATCAGCACCTGTAGAACGTATATTTAGCCAGGCTGGAATGATTCTCACTCCTAAAAGAAATCGTTTAAGTGATGAATCATTTGAAACTTTACTTTTACTCAAAAAGAACAAACTCTTTTATTGATGTAAATAAATTACTGTAAATAATGAGTTGATTTCTGAGTTTAATAAATTTATAAATATTTCAAATTAACCATGGTATGTACTTAGTTACTTAGTACTTACACTTAGTACTTATAAGTGTCAAGTATACAATTTGCTTTGGTACTTAGCACTTATACTTAAGTACTTTTATCACTGAGTACTTAGTACTTATACTTAAGTACATTTTTTGAGTACTTACGTCATCACTGATATATACATTCACACACAGTATTATATATATATATATATATATAATACTAACAATACTATAATATTAGCGTATGGATATTCTACTCGTATCAACAAAAATAAAAATTTACAAACAGCAACAACAATAATAATAATAAAACAATAAAAATAATAACACACACATACAGACATACACACACACACACACAGACACACAGGCAGAGCACACAGACCAAATAGAATACAAACGATGTAACTAATATTGGTTACAATTCTCAATAAATACATTTATAAATGATTGATTACAAGCAAATAAACACACACACAAACACACACAGGCACGCAGACACACACATTATAATATATATATATATATTAAATAAGGCCGGTTATATATACATATATACTTATATAATATATATATATAAGTGAAACCAAATAATATTATAAGCCGGAATTTTTCGCTTTGGAAGATTCTTTCATTCATTTGTTCATTCATTCAGTTATTTATTCATCAAATTATTATTTAATTAATTCAATCATTCATTTATTCAATCATTCATTTAATCTATTCACTCCTAAGCGATTACGAAAGTTTATACAATTTAATACCTATGAATGAATGAACGAACGAACGAACGAATGATTGAATGAATGAGTGAATAAATAAATAACCAAATAAACGAGGAAATAAATTATCGAAGATATATACAAGTTACTGGAAAGAAGAGGAATAATTATAATGATGATGCACCAATCTCTTCAGATCATTGGTAAGAAAGCCAAAGTGATATAAGTAATTATAATTATTATTACTATCCTAAATATCTTTATTAATTAATTCATTCATTCATTCAATCATTCACGCATTCATTAATTCATTCACGTATTCCTTCATTTGTCACATGCAAACAAAATCATCTCTTAATTTATTCACATAAATTGTTTCAACCAATCAAACAACCGATAAATCAACCGACCAATCAAACAACCGACCATTCATCCAACCAACCAACCGACCGACCAATCAGCCAACAACTTCTTTATTAACATTATTAGATTTTTTAGCACCCCCAGTACTACTACTACTACTACCCCCGCCAAACAGATTAATGTCATCATCATCATCATCTTCCGGAATGACGTCATTATCAAGACCGCTCACGTCACGGACATCGTTATCATCATTGCCATTTTTGTTGTTGTTGTTCTTGTCGCTACTAATATTCGAATCTGAGATTGGTAGAGAGACTTCTGGCATTTTTGTTGTTGTTGTTGTTAATAATAATAACAACAACAACAACAACAACAATAATAATAATAAGCAATCAATCAATCAATCAATCAATCAATCAATCAATCAATCAATCAATCAATCAATCAATCAATCAATCAATCGATCGATCGATCGATCAGTCTATCAATCAATCAATCAATCAATCAATCAATCAATCAATCAATCAATCAATCAATCAATCAATCAATCAACCAATCAACCAATCAGCCAACCAATCAATCATCAAACAAACAAACTTGATTTATAAGACGTCTTATCCGTCAGGCTACTATTACTGGGTAAATTTTGTTGTTGTTGTTGTGATGACGTACTTGAAGTCGTCAGCAGCGACGACAATGACGATGCTTGCTGCGATTGCATCTCCGGCTGCTGCTGCTGTTGTTGTTGTAATACTTTTCGAAGTTTGTCTGATTTTCTAAAGAGTGTTATCTCCTGGAGGCAATAGAAAAAATAATGACAACAACAACAACAACAACAACAACAACAACAACATCATCATCAATAACAACAACAACGACAACAACAACGACAACATCATCATCAATAACAACAACAACAACAACGACAACATCATCATCAATAACAACAACAACGACAACAACAACGACAATAACCACGACCACAACAACAGCCACAACAACAACAACAACAAATACATCAACGACATCAACATCATCATCATGATCATAATCAACAACAACAACGACAACATCATCAACAACAACAACGACAACATCATCAACAACAGTAGCAATAAATAATAAAAAGATACTGATGATGATAAAGTTATTATTATAACAATTATTATTATAATTATTATAATTTTTATTATAATTATTATTACTTGCTGCTTGAAGTACCTCCTATCTTCTTCATCGATGAGGACAAGATTGATGAAATACCTGAAATACAAATGATGGAAACTCTTCTTCATTTCAACCAAAGTCGTTAAAAAAATGAAAGATAAAAGTAATTTTGAAAAAAATGTAATAATGCTCGATAAAACCCACAATGCTCATTGCCTAAGACAAGTGCAAAACGGTGTAATGTATTCAAATTGTATCAATATCACCACAACGATCATCATCATCATCATCATCACTATCACCACAGCAATCATCATCATCACCACAACAACAATCATCATCATCACTATCACCACAGCAATCATCATCATCACCACAATCACCACAGCAATCATCATCATCGTTATCACCACAACGGTCATCATCATCATCATCATCATCTTCGTGAAAAAAAATGGCCTACCTGACGGAGAACTTCTTGTTGATATCCTTCATGGTAGGAGTCAGGTCGTAGCCGCTGAGGAACAAACGGATGGGGACTGACTCACCTGGAATCATCATCATCATCGTCGTCATCATCATCATAACCATAACCATCATCATCATAACCATCATCATCATCATCATCACGATCACAATCATCACCATTGTCACTACACCTAACTTTATCATCACGATCATCGTAACTATCATCATCATTACCGCCATCATCATCAAAACTATCATCATCATCATCATAACTATCACAATCATCATCATCGTAACTATCATCATCATCATCATCACCATCGCGATCATCATCATCATCAGCCAGCAGCAACCTCTGACAGGCAATCCGTCCATGATTTCAAACTTTGTGAGAATTTCATTGTCGACCAAAGGGTTGGTCTCTAAACGATAATAATAATAATAATAATCATCATCATAACTACAATCATCATCATCAACACCACCAAGAACCTGAACCAACGGCTTCCTTTTTAATAATCTGTATCTCCATGTGCTTTATCTTCAGCCTCACTAATATAAAGTAAATCTTCCCTACTATAACATCCGTCAAGTGGTATCTACGTTCGTGTGTGTGTACGTGTGTGTGTTTGTGTGTACCAGTGTGTGCGTATATGAGTGTGTGAACAAAAACGAATTAAATAAATTAATATAATTAAAGTTGAAACTGAATAAAACTGATACATAAGGTAACAACCATGAAATGAAATGAAACTGATCATTGGGAAATGATCATCAATGCGACGAAATTATTTGCTGACGTAAAAAAGAAATTGAATCGGAGAATAACGATAATAATAACAATAATAATAACAATAATAATAACAATAATAATAACAATAATAATAACAATAATAATAACAATAATAATAACAACAATAACACAGATACGACCCAAAAAATGATATTTGAACCTGAAAAAGTGCAGAACTCAAAAAAAAAGTACAAAAAGAAATCTACAGCAGGTCTTTGAAAATCAAACAGAGGATGAATAAAAAAATTTCAATCTAAAAGAAAGGACGGAAATGAATGAAACGAAATGAACGAAAGAAAATATATAAATGAATGAATGAATAAACGAATGAGTGAACGAATGTGTACATGTTGTCTGCCAGCTCATATTTCATGGCACTTACAAACCATACCCTCCTTGCACAGTTTTATTCAAGATATAGACCTCTTGATTCTGCCTGCATTCAAACCAGCTAACATCAACACACAACATCTTGACTCTAATTCTAGTACGAGCCCAACCGACAAGGAGTGTTTTCACTGTGAAACCATCTGGCCAATCAGCATGGCTCAAATTGTTGTTGTAGTAGTAATAGTAAAAGCAGCATTAGTACAAGCAGTTAAAGCAGAAATATTAGTTACGAAAATGAGGTGTGGTAGTTGCAGTAATAGGACAAGTAGTAGTAGAAGAAGCAATAGAAATTGTAGTAGTAGTAGTAGTAGCAGCAGCAGCAGTAGCAGCAGCAGAAGTAGCAGCAGCAGCAGTAGTAGTAGCAGCAGTTGTAGACTAGTAACCTGCAATAGCATCAACAGTTTCGTTCCGGATGATCATAAGTTCCATGCTCTTGAGCTTAACTCTCACCAATATATAGTAAATCTTTCCAACTATGACGTCATTCAGATCGTATCTATGGAGGGCGATAATCGATGACGATGATGACGACGATGATGCTGATTACGATGATGACGACGACGATGATGATAATTGCATTAGTAATTGTGAAGATTGTAAAACTGATAATGATGTTAGTCACGAAAGAGCAGTAGAAGCAGTTGTGGTAATGATAATAGTAGCAACAACAACAACAGCAACAACAACAATAATAAACACACCAAACAAACAAACATACATACAAAAACACACCAAACAAACAAACATACAAAACCACACCAAACAAAGCAAACCACACCGAACAAACATCAGATCCTAAAAAAAACCGACTTTGATTTACTATACTCAAACTCGATGTGCAGACAGTCCTCGATGCCGACTTCCATCTTGATCGAGCAATTAGTGTCGGGGTAGTGCGACAAGGTGTGCACGCATATGGGCAATTCCCTCACAATGTCACTCAAGCGTTTTACAACCGTTACTCTGAGGAAATAACTGAGTAAATATAATTAAAATAAAATAATTAAAATAAAATAATTAATAATACATTTTTGCATGCTTTCTTTCTAAATTAAGATCAGTATACTGTAACATACACAACATACACACACTCTCTCTCTCTCTCTCTCTCTCTCTCTCTCAGTACATTATAAATAAGCATGGTAGATAAGCAAAACAGTACAAACAGAGTAGCAAAGTACACAGCGCTGGTACTGACCATAGTTTAACGTTAGTACCTTGGTAGGACTCATAAGGTTTCTCAACCTGTAAAAATTCAAATGGGTAACTGGTGTTTTGTGTGAGTTCACCGGGATTGGCTAGCTCCCTGACCAATGAGGAGAACTCCTGGCGATTGCTTTTGTCATTGAAGAGTTCTGATTGGATGAGTAGAGGTTTAAAATAATTTTCAAAAAATTTTGATTGGAGTTGGAAGGTTTAAAATAATTTGTAAAGATTTCTTACTGAGTGAGAGGTTTATATTCATTAACCAATCAGAATGGATGTGTGTTATTAGTAATTATCAGGAATCTAATTGAAATATTGAAACAATTGACTTCAAGAATCATTTTTTATCAACCTATCTGTCCAATAAATTCAATTTTTATTCCATGGTGATCAAGTTTAGATCCATTTTTCTTGAAAACAACATTCACCTAAAATGAAAAAAAACTACATACAGGTACAAAAAACACCCAATAAATGATTAAACAAAAAAAAGATCAAAAAAACCAAAAATGGCCAACCTTTCCAGTGACACTTTCACCGTCGTAATAAATCAGATAACTGTCTTTCCTGTTTTCATCTACCTTCATCTCGGCCTTCTTTCTACTCTCCTGGCCATCCAACTGAATTGAAACCTCCACATTTGACGAGAATAAAAAACTCTAAAAAACAAATTTTAATAAAATTTTGTAATAAATTAAATTAAATTAAATAAATCACTAATTTTGAAAAACAGAAAATCAAAAAAAGAAAAAAAGAGGTAAAAAAGGGGTGGTTTTTTGTGTCTATTCAATGGAAATATGTCAAAACCATGAATTTCACGTGTTTAGAATGACTTATTAAATTATTTTACATGTTATATATTTATTAATATTAGTTATTAATAATTTAATTATAAAGTTTTATGGAAGAAAATAAAAAAATCACATGATTTTTTAAACTAAATTTTTTAATTTTAAAGTAGCAAAGTACAAAAGGTATATAATATATAGAAATATTTAGACATTAAAACGTAATAAGCGTAAAAATTGAAAGAATTAAAGCAGAAATTGATTTCTTATAAAAACCTAACCATGTCAAAAATTAACGAACTATTTATTTAGTTTGAAGAAGATAAAGTAAAGCCTTGTTTACTTTTACTACAAAACCATTGATTAAATTAAATTTAAAAGAAAAAAGCGGTGTCAATAGTTCCGGGAATATCAAAGTTCATTTTTTTTATAATTTATCAATATCTATCCATGATTTTATCTTTTAAATCATTAATTTGACCAAGAAATAAAGTGTATTATTTCTAAACAAAATGTTAACTATAACGTTTAATTCTACTGCAATAAAAGGCTTGATTTTAACAATTGCCTAGTTCCATTACGATAGAAATAGTAAATCTTATATATTAAATGAACTTTTTAAATAAAAACTTATTTTAAATTAATAAAAATAGTACGGGAAAAAAGATAAATTAAAAATAAAATTTTCTTTATGTACAGCTCCTAATAATTTTTTGACAAAAAGAGAAAGTGAAGAATTTATCAACATTTCCGGTACCCATGAATATTTTTTTACCAGCATTTTTTTTAGATTGAATTTAAACTTTTCCTAAGATTAATATTCATTAAAATTGCACACCAAATACGCGATGTCTGATTAGAAAATTTTGATTTCATTTTCTCGCTAATTTCAAAATACGAAATTTTACCTCCAAATGCCACAGCTCACTGCTACGCCTAGTTTAGCAGGTATGCTACCTCCGGATCACCAGCTTCAGTTCGAGCAGTTGCAGTTGAAAACCCTAATATATCCTTACGAGCAGTGTCACCCAGCCTGCGAACAGTGGTCCAGATTTTTTAGTTACAACGCTCTCTCTAAATTGTCAAAAAATGAATTTGGATCTCTGTGCAATAACACCAATAATAATAATGGCACCAAAGGATCGTTTGACCAAAACGCAGCATTTGCACGTCTGGTAAAGAGCTGCAGACCACAGGCGGCCGACAACAAGAACCAGGTGTCTGCCGGTGATTTGGAGAGTGAAGTTGCTCGAGATGATAAAATCCCGCCTGAAGAAACCTCTCAGGAAGTACCTAATCCTACTCCTTGGAAAGCAGAGAACAAGATCTACCAACATGGCCTGCTTGGGTTTGCATCAAAATTCAACAAAATTATGTAATAATATTTTTATAACTTATTGACTTATGATATATGATAGGTTGCATGAGGAGATTATCGACTTCTTTACTTACATGTCTCCAAAACCTGAGGAAAGGTATATGAGGTCGGATGTTGTCAGCAGGATGCAGATTGTCATCAAGTCCATTTGGCCTAATGCTGAAGTTAGGAGTGCTAACTGTCATATTGTGGCTTTGCCATTTTTTTCATATCAATTTGTCATTTTTTAGTGAGAAAATTAAAAATTATTCCCTATTTGAATAATTTTATTTCACATACATCACAAATTAAAATGTGTAATCATCAAAAGGTTAAAGTCTATGGCAGTTTCGAAACTGGCCTTTACCTGGCAACCAGTGACATTGATTTAGTTGTCTATTGCAATGAACTTGACACACAGGCAGCCTTGACATTACTTGAGCAAAGGCTGCAGAATATCAGGGATTATGACGACGTTAGAATCATCAGAACAAAAGTTAGTAATTGTTATTTATTATCTTTTTTTGGGGGGCTAAGATGCATTATGTTTTTGAAAATGGTTTTTTATTTTTATAGGTGCCAATAGTGAAGGTGCTAGACAAGCAAACAGCCGTTCGGGTTGATATTTGCTTCAACGTCGATAGTGGCACATCTAGTGCTGAATTTATCAAGGTCTGTTAATGTTATGTTAATGTCTTGGTGTCATTGCATGGGCATTATTATCACAGGCAAATGAGATGCTAATGAGTAGGCTCAGAATGTTAATTTTATGATAATGAGGGAAGGCTGCAGTTTCTGACAGGACAGGATGGTGAGATAATGATGATGAGAGAGGGAGATAAATTAAAGATGACAGAGGGTATGTATAAAAAAGCATCTGATTTTAAAAATGGAGAAATAGGTGTAGGATCTTGAGAGGTAGCACGCACAAACACACACGAACACACATACAGACACACACACATAATACATACATAAATACATACATGCTCACATACATACATAAATACATACATACATAAATACATACATACAAACAAACATTTATACCTGGGTTACTGCATTTCATAATTGGAATGTTATAAAAAAATTTTATAATCCTATTGATGAAAGTGAGTATGATTGCGACGATGATGATAATGATGATAATGGTATTGATGATAGTAGCGAGTGAGTGGCGTTAAAATTAATTGAAAATGTCTTCGCATTCGAATCCAGTCATTGCATGCAGCAGTACCGGCAAGCAAAGCCGGACACCTTAACCATTGCACCACTCAAATACAAATACACATACAGGACATGATGCTAGTGTACCCCGAGTTGAAATACCTGGTCTTGGTTATGAAGCAGTTCCTCCTGTCACACAAACTGCTAGAGATGTTCAACGGTGGTATCAGCTCATATTGCCTGATACTACTCATTATTAGCTATCTGCAGGTTTCTGTGTGTGTCTTCTCTTCACACGTACGTGCATACACGCACACGCACACACACACACACACACACACACACATACATACAACACACTTAATAACCGCCTACCTATTGATGAGATAACAATAACTGTTGCGTTAAAATTTCTTTTAAAAATAAACTGTTGAATGGATGAATGATTGATTGATAGATTGAATGATTGATTGAATGTATAAACAAATGAATGGCTTAGTTGTGGAAGGGAGGAATAAATATACTAAGGAATGAAACAGGCATGAATGAATGAATTATGGAATGAATGAATGAGTGAGTTTGCAAAGGAATGAATAAATAAATGAATAATCTAATGAATGAATAAAAACTAAAAACTAAAACTAAAAGAATTTTCGAAGTTGGAACTCATCCATTGATTTAATCAAGGAGTAATTGTTATGAAACAAAGGAAAATTTTTTACACCAAAACTTCTTAGTTGTTATTTTCACTACTGAGATTTTATGACTACCTATAATTTATTTATGATTATAATAATCATAATAACAATAATAAGTTACAACTATAATTAGTTATAATAATAATAGTATTATATATTGATGGTACATATAAAAATTTGCAGTGAGGTGCTATTTATATGATTTTAAATGAATATATTATTACTCGTTTGGCAATGTTTTTGTTTCTCTACCTTACATGGGATTTTGATATTTCTAAACATAGCAGAGCAGAGCCACACCCTTGCCGCTTGTCATTGTGTGTCTCTCTCTCTTTCTCTCTCTCTCCTCTCTCTCCATCTCTCTCCTTCTGTGTGTGTGTGTGTGCGCGCGCGCGCGTGTGTGTTTGAGTTTGGCGTGATGTATGAAACTACTTAAAATAAAATAACGAAAATAACATAATGGGTGTAGCTTCTAGCTGAGAAGAAGGATTGCCTGTTCACATATATTTCATAAACTTGTCACGAAATTTTTGAAATGGCATGCATGTACTACTATCGTTGTTACATGTGTGATTTTGAAAGGAACTATGTGGGAATGATGGTGATGATGAAGAAGATAATGGTGTTAATGATGACAAATACAAATATTGCAAAAGACTTTATGACATTGAGTGAAAAATCAAACAGCAAGTACATTTGCCAATATGGCTGACATGTTTTTGTAAGATAATTATAACCGATTACAACACTTTTGATGGTAAATTAAATTTTCGTAAATTTCAACGACACCTGAGCCCATTCAAATCTTTCTTCCTCATTTTTGCTGTTACTCTTTTCTAACTTTTCTTAGTTTAAATTGAAAAAAAAACTCTCCTCCTTTAGTTGCATCCAGAGGACAGGCACTCCGAGAACCACGGAGATCGCCTGGTAAAATTTCTCGAGCTGTACGGCCGATTGTTTAACTACCTGAAGTGCGGGATCAGTGTGAAAGAAGGCGGCTTTTATTTCAGGAAATCAGAGGAGGGCAAGGGCGATACTACGAATAGATATTCCTTACTTTGTATCAAAGATCCTTTCAATGATGGTTAGTTGGTTTGAATGGTTGTTTGGTTGGTCGGTTGGATGCTTGAATGGATGGTTATAGCCGGTTGATTGGATGGTTTGCCGGTGTTTCATTTCATTTTTATGTTGCGTTACTCTCCAAGATCGTACGCCTTGTTTATGTAAATTATTTCTATGAACTGACAACTTGAAAACCATCCACCGACTGTTTCTTCTTCTCCAGAAAATGATGTAGGCGAGGGTTGCTTTGGAATTGTGCAAATCCGAGTGGAGTTTGAAAAGGCCTTCAGGGAGTTGTCTGATGGTGTTTTGCCACAATACGCCCACATTCAACCGACGTCGACGAGTCTCCTAGGACGGATTTTGACTATCGCCCCGGAAGTTGTGACGTACCGGAAGTTCATTTGCGAGAAGTATCGGCCATTTTGTTTGAGCATCCCACCGTCAATATTTCCTCAACTTATGCCATCCATGTACAGCCAGTTCGTTCTCAACCAGCCTACTCATTACACTAACTTCAGGGTCCCCCTGATTCTGCCTGGGGGCGTACCCCCACCGCCACCGGGGGCTGTCATTCAGAATAATTCGGTCTCATCCATTCATCCTCCTCCTTCTCATCTTCCTCTTCCACTGCCTCATCAGCAGTTTCCATTGATGCAACCACATCTGCAACAGCATCAGTCACAAGCCTGGTTGAACCAGCAGCAGCAGCAATCGCAGCAACTTCATCAACAACAACAACCTTTTCTCTACAGCAACATTAACAACGCCGCTAATAACATCAACAACAACAATGCTAGCATTAATAATAATAATAGCATCCACAGTAGTAATAATAATCTGGCTCCAAATTCAAACTACGTCAATCAACAGCAGCAGCAACAACAACAACAGCAACAACAAATTTTAACACCATTCAATAGCAACGGTATTCTACTACCACCACAACAACAACAACAACCGTTATACTTGCAACATCCCAATCTGCTACCTCAACAGCAACAACATCAGCAGCTGCAGCAACCACCACCACCTGCTCTACTGTCCAATGTTATTTCACATTTTCAGGCACCTAGACATCAACTACCACCATTCAACTACCATCCCGTAATGCACCAACAACAACAACAACTTCTTAACAACACTAATTACAACAGCAACACCAACAGCTTTACTAATTACAACAATAATAATAATTACAATATTAATAATAATAACTATAGTAACATGATCAACAACAATGGCAATATCATTCACTATCAACATTTTGTTCCTTATGAAAATGACTATCCCATCTCTCCTGATAATGATAGGTATAAATATCTATGCTTGTTTGTTTGTTTGTGTATATGTTTGTACGCGTGTTTGTTTGTTTGTTCGTATGTATGCATTTATGGGTATGTATGTGTGCACCTGTACAGATTGTATGCTTTGTATGTTTTGGCAGCTGTGGGAACATAACACTCATGTTTCATTTCACTTGCCAATGTGATTTTTCAAATCTCTTCTAAGGCAGGCCGTTGATTTGTCTCTCTCTCTCTCTCTCTCTCTCTCTCTCTCTCTCTCTCTCTCTCTCTCTCTCTATCTCTATCTCTCTCTCTTTCTTCCTTGCTCTCTCTCTCTTTCTCGTAAGTTAATGCAATAGTT